TTCCTAACTCAATAATTATTTTCATTACATACCATGAACTACTCATGCTTTTATACTGTCACTAGTACTCTGTAACCACACTCTAAATTCTAGATCGTGCCCTCCTCTCTCACGTTCCTACCACCACAACTGAGTTGGTGCGACCTTGAGCAAGATACCTACCTACCCCTTCCCTAAAGTTTTCATCTATAAGTTGCTGACAATAACAGCACCACCATCCTAAAATTGTAGAGTTTGGGTAAGTATATACATACAAAAGGCCTCCAAAAAGTGCCTTTACTACATGTATTATGAAAAAAAAACTATGCCTGAAGTTTTTTTTTTAAAGTATGCACTGAGTTTATTTTTAAGTTCTATCTTGCCATGACATTATCAAAGTACCTGCCATTACAACCTTTTTAGGAAAGGATTATTTTTATTGAGAAAGCAGATATACAGATAGACCACGATATAGAGAGAAAGATCTCATCAACTGGTTCCCTCCCCAAGTGTCTACAAGAGCTAGAAGCCAGGAGATTCTTCCAAGTCTCCCCACTGCGTCACAAGGTCCCAGGGCTTTGGGCTGGCCTCTATTGCTTTTCCCAGCCCACAGGCAGGGAGTTGGGCAGGGAGTGGAGCAGACATAGGGGACATTGGCGAATGTGAGGACATCACCCCAGGCTCTATCTACCCTTACAACTCTTAATTGTTTCAAGCAATGCAGCTACTTAGCGAAAGCACAAAGAACACCTCAGTGCTCCTGCCTTGGCCCCCCGCCACCTATATGAAAAACCGGGATGGAGCCAGCTCAGCCCAGTTCCTGCGGTAGTGGTCATTTGGAGAGTGAATCAGTATATGGAAGATCAGTCTCCCCCCCCCCACCCCCTTCCCTCTCCTAACCGCTGTGCAACTCTGCCTTTCAGATAAATAAATCTTAGAGAGAGAGAAACCCCTGTGTGCTGATTTAGTTTTTTAAGTATCCACGTGTCTGTGCTTAATTAAAGCAGTGCTGAAGAACATATGGACTATTGCTTTTTGAGGATAAACAGGCCGTTCCAAATAATGGCTCCCAAGGTTGTCACCACAAAACAATACAGTTGTCACAAAATCGCAAATAAAACTTTTCAGTGGAAAACAAAATCTCATCTCTAAGTCCTGTTCCTCAAAATGAGAAGTGAAAAGCAAATCATAAATATTTATGAATAATCCCATTCATATTGATATTATATCATTGTTATGACAACAGATTATGGTATCTAGTTAGTGACCTGATGCCCATTTTCCTAATGGTGGAGGTAGAGTTGAACCACTTCGGTTCAGGAGAGAGTGACTCTCAGCATCCCAGGTTCAAGCAGTTTGCCTGGCTTCAAAGGACCAAAGGTGACCTCAGTGGATGACCTGGGCATCCTGGAACCCAGTCTTTGGGGAAGGAGGTGTCTCAGTGAAACAGGTGCATCGTGAAAAACAGCTGTGGCTCTCTAAGGCAATCGCTGACATTCTGCTGTGGGGCTCTCTTAAAGCTGCTTTTCGCTGGAGAAGGATGCGGATGCTGTAACCAGGACACCCTCCCTGCTTTGTTCCAGCTCCAGAAGTCGGTGCAGTCCTGGCCCACTTCTGTGTGCCCTGCCTTGCACTGTGATTTAGACTTTACCTTATTTGTGATTACAAGTGATCATTAGAGCTAAGAGATATAATTTTACTGTCTTAAATTTTATTAATTTGAATTTTTTACACTAACTTTCCCTGATAAAGACCACAATGATGTCCCCCGCCTCCATCCCCGTCAAATTACCTAATTACATGAGATCCTGCTTAGTTAAACATTTGAAAATTTTACTATCACAGAAAAGATGTGGGGGAGAGTGGGAGAGATCTCGTTTTGGTTCACTCTCCAAATGTTCACTACAGCTATTACATCGGGCCAGGTCTCCTGATGTCAGGGACCCAAGTAGCTTGAGCCAGCAGCTGTTCAGTGAGCTGAGCACTCACTGAGCACTCATTGGAGTGGGAGATAAGCAACCACTTTACTAAATGCTTGCCATCTGGAAATGTTTATTTTACAAAACCTAATACGGACTCCCGATCTTCAACGCAGGTGCTGAGTCCTAAGGCTTTGGGCTGTCCTCAACTGCTTTTACAGGCTACAAGGAGGAAACTGGATGGGAAGTGGGGGCAGCTGGGACAGAACTGGCGCCCATATGGGATCCTGGTGGATGCAAGACGAGGACTTTATCCACTAGGCTACCGCAATAATTGTTGTTGTTGTTCCTAAATATATCTTGAGGATAGGATGCTGGACTCTCTGGCATTGTCCATACCTACAATGTCAGGACGCACTTAAATAGAAGGATGGATTTAGGCCTGTTTTAGAAGGGTTATACTGTTGCAATATAGTAGAAATCAATTGTGGGGGAAGATTCAGAGAGTGGAAAGAGACATCCTAGAGCCTATGGAAATGTATCATAAAGTAATAAAATTAAAACATTTAAAAAATAAAACCCTACAGCTCTGTACAGTAAAATCTCAGATATTTGCCTATGAAACAGCTTGGAGTAATAAGGCTACAATCTCTTTGCAAGCAGCACATATTATTTCTAGCTACTCTAATTCAGGAATAACTTTTTTTTTCCTGACAGACCGAAATCCTCCTCTTTTTGGAAAAGTTCCTTTCACTTCACAAAAGGTTCCCGGAACTAAGGGGGAGAGAGACTGGACGGTTGTAGGTGCGCAGCAAAAGCGAGTGCCATTCTCCCCGGACCAGTTGCAACGTGAAGCCTTGTGGCGTCTACTTTTCAAAATCAGGGTTCCCCTGGAAGTAGCACTGAAGTGTGCTGAAATTCTGGCCGCCCCCAGACCCGACGCGCCCAGTTCGCTGTCCCCCTGGTGGGAACGCGGCTCCAGGCGGGAGGGCTTGGGCTTGGCTGGATGCAGACCACCGTTGCATCACGCCCTCCTCCCTTCAGACGGGAGGTTCTCGGAGCGGAGCCGCCCTCCCAGCTCGCCCTCCTCCCTTCGGGCATCCTCCCGTCGCGCACCGCACCCCCCGCCCGCTCGCCAACGTCCTGCCGAGCTCGCCCCGCGTCCGGGCGCACAGCAGCCGCAGCGGGAGGTGGCCGCGCCGGACGGGGCCAGGGCAGCGGCTCGGGGAGGAGGCTGGTCTCCGAGAGGGAGAGAGGATCCGAAGAAACGGCCTGGCTGGGAGAGAGACGCCCGAGCTCGCCTTGGAATATTCACCAGGTGGAGGGGAAATGGCGCCCGGGAAGTGGGGCGACTCCGCGAACCGCCCGCAGGCAACCGCGTTGGTTACGCCCGAAGTAACCGTGCGAGCGAGTGTCAAAACCAAGCACAGACCCGAGGGACTCCGAGGTTAAAACCGGGCGGGAACTTTTCATCTTGTTTTAATCCTTTTCCGTTGCTGGAGGGGGCGGGGGGGGGGTAGATTGGATTCAAAGGCCTAGAGCTCTAAGGGTTTTCCTGTCTCTCGGTGAACGCCCTTCTAAATCCTACGCCAAGCAGGGAACTAGGATAGGATTCTGCCGCGTTTTATCGCAAAAGTCTCGGTGTCACAAATCGAGAGAATATACCTTTTGCCGGCAAATTGAAACTACCAAAAAAAAGGTGCATTAAACTGGAATTATTTTAAATATTTCATCCCTCACGAAATTTAAATCAACGTCACATACACAACGAATTAGCTGATCTGGTTTAAAAAAAAAAACAAGAAATGGGAAGCTTGACAGTTTTTAAAAAGTCCTATGTTAGAGGAATCTATGGCTCACAGCAAAAACTGAGCCGAACGTTTTTAGCATTGATTTCTCTGCATTTCCTTAACACGTAGCCTCAGCAGAGGGTTCATTATGACAAAGGATGAGCCTGTGTGGCTCACCATTGTCACCATCTTAGCATTGTCCATATCTTATGTGGTTCAGTCTCTGATGCATCTGCTCTCATTCTGCACTTTTTTTCCCCACTTTTCCATTTTCTGGAGGCTATTCTGTGAAGTCAACCTTTCCCTGACACCAAAACCAAACAGATCATTACAAGAAAAGATCCTGATAGGATACTAGCAAAGCTAATCAACACTGGCTAATCCTATCAGATTAAGGATTAGAGATGGAGGATTTCAAGGGTAACAGTCCTGTCATGTTTCTATGTATTTCCCAGGTGTTCCAATACTTTTTTGTTCATATTTCTCCAGAGATGATCGCAATTGGATATACGTTAACCCATTTGACCTGGGATGGACCAAGTCTTGTATTTGTTTCTATTTGGTGGCTCCGTTATAGTTGCTGGACAGTGGATAGTTGTCTTAAAGCAGGGGCGTGCTCACCTGCCTTGTCCAGGCGCAAAGCACAGCCGGAATGATGGAAAGGCTTCCGGCGTTTATGCAGTGTTTTTTTTTTTTTTTTTCCTACTTCTAAAACTGCGTCGTCAACTACAGGTGATAGTTTGTGAAGCCTCCAAACATATCTCCCAACCCAGGGATTTCCTTAGTAGATTCCGACAGTGTAAAACCCTAAAGTAGACTTAAATAGATCTCATCGTTGCCCCTGTAGCAAGGTTTAAACACTTTCTTCAACCTCTTGTCTCAACATTTTACATGTGTGAGTTGGGCGTCTTCGTGAGTGACTTGGGTTTTTTGAAGGACAAATAGAGAGGTCTTGGAGGCGCTGAGATGTGGGGACCCAGAGGTGCGCGTTTAAGCGGGCGTGGGGGTCACGTGGGCGCTGGGGACAAATCCCACGCAGGAGAGCAACACTGTGGGCGCCAGTTTCTTCCTGAGCCTGTGAGCACGAGCGGGAGGGGATTGGATTGGCCGATGGGGGAGGTCCTGCCCAGAGCGCTCGCCAGCCAATGGCGAGGGCAGGGCGGGCACGGGGCGGGCACGGGGCGGGGTGGCCGGGCCCTTAAGAGGAGGCTGCTGGGCTCCAGAGCGCTGGAACACCGCAGGTCGGTGGTCGGAGGTAGAGCGGTGTGCGAGGGAGAGCGGAAGGACGTCGGAAGCGCCGGATCTTTTAGGGATGGCCGGACAACAAGCTAGGTCCAACGCCTCTACCCGGGTGGTTGCTACCCAAGCAGGGTCAGCTGCACGGCGGGCTCCGGGGAAGAGGGCCAAGGAGGAACCAGCGCGAAGAGGTCAGGGAGGTAATAGGAGCGGCGGAGGAAGAGGATGGAGAGAGGACGCCTGGGGAGGCGACGTGATCACTGGTCGCAGGGAACCCCCTCTTTGTTTCAGCTTAAAGGGCGAATTTGTCGGCATGGTGATCGGTAAGAGCTGGGGAATGGTTGAGGTGGGCTGGGTCTGGGGAGGCAGGAGGTTGGATGGGGAGGCGGCATGAGGCCAGAGCATGGGCGCTCCCCTCCTTACTCCGCTCGCCTCCAATTAGCTGTCGCTTTCGGAACTCTCTTAAGACTTTCAGGTGCTACCATACTATGTAATGCAACTTAAAAGAGAGATTATTGGTGACCTTTTTGAGGAGATCATTTAGTAGAAATTGGGATTGAAGAGGGTCGCTGAAGGATGCTTTTTTCTTAAAAGATATATTTTATTTTTATTGGAAAGTCAGATATACAGAGAGGAGGAGAGACAGAGAGGAAGATCTTTCACTCCCCAGGTGGCCGGAGAGTGCTGCGCCGGTCCGAAGCCAGAAGCCAGGAACTTCTTCCAGGTCTCCCACACGGTGCAGGGTCCCAAAGCTTTGAGCCTTCCTGGACTGCTTTCCCAGGTCACGTGCACGGAGCTAGATGGGAAGTGGAGCAGCTGGGATTAGGACGAGCGTCCATATGGGATCCTGGGGCGTTTAAGGCGAGGACTCTGGCCACTAGGCCGCTGCACCGGGCCCTGGGCAGCGTGAAAACGAACAAAAAACCAAAATCAGTGTTGGGATGTGGGATGATTACAATTTAGAACTGTCGAAGCATACAGGTTGTGATATGGCTAGCCAGAGAGCTTTGCTTGTGTTCTTTACCTGGCTGAGAAGTGATTGAGGGTTTTTTTGTTGTTAAGATTTATTTATTTGTATTGGTAAGTCATATATATATATATAGGGAGAGAGAGAGAGACAGAGACAGAGAGGAAGATCTTACATCTGATGGTTCCCTCCCCAAGCTGCTGCAACGGCTGGAGCTGAGCCAATCTGAAGCCAGGAACCAGGAGCTTCTTTTGGGTCTCCCTTGTGGGTACCGGGTCACAAGGCGTTGGGCTATCCTCTGCTGCCTTCCCAGGCCACAAGCAGGGAGCTGGATGGGAAGTGGAGCTGCCGGGATTAGAACCGGCAACCATATGGGATCCTGGCACATTCAAGGCGAGGACTTTCAGCCTCCAGGCTATTGCGCCAAGCCCAATTTTTCAAGCACGTGTTGCATCTCAAATTCCTTTTAGAATGTATTTTTGAGAATTCTTTCAATGACTTGAATAATTGCTATGGACTGTTGAATGACTCAGTTTTATAACAGCCCCCTGAGTATGGGAGATAATATTTTGCTTTTTAAACTTGTGCTGAGAAAGCAGACAGATTTTGTGATGTCAGCTTTGGAGGAGTACGGGAGAAGGCCTGTGGGTAAACTGGCCAGGTTCACTGCTTGGTCAGCTAAGTTCTAGGGAAAACTACGAAATTTGCAAGAAAAAGCCACGCTTCCTGAGCTGGAGCCCCTGTGGGGTATAAGCTGCAGAGCACCCCTCAGGTTGGATCTGGATCTGACTTTGGTCATTTTCCTACTTAGCATTAAGTATACATTATAGTATTAATGATGAGCCCATGTTGGCCCCCTCCTCCCCCGCCCCAGATCTTTGGATTTTTGCAAGACTAAAACTCCTTGTTCAGTTGCTTAGTTTTCATTTCCTCTTTTACTGGCAACCACCCATCTTCATTTTTTGATCACCTTAGATTCTACTTTAATGCCATGATTGGCTTTTTCATTTGCATTATTTCCCTGACTGTAAAGTCTTCAAAGTTTCTTTCTCTGTTTTCTGTTTGCTTAAGATTTATTTACTTGAAAGGAAAAATTAGAGAGGGATCCACTGGTTCATTCCTCAAGTGACTGCTACAGAGCTGGACTGGTCCAGCTCTTGGAGTCAGGAGCTTCCAGGTCTCCCATGTGCGCAGTAGTTCTAACTGCTTCAACTCCAGCTGGGGTAACACCTCCCCTTTTATTTTTATTGGAAATCAGTTATACGGAAAAGTTATGCAGATCTTCCACAATGGCCAGTGTTGAGCTGATCCAAAGCCAGGAGCCAAGAGCTTCCTTGGTCTTCTGTGCAGGTGCAGGGTCCCAAGATTTTGGACCATCTTCCACTGCTTTCCCAAGGCACAAGCAGGGAGCCGGAAAGGAAGTGGGGCCACTGGGACAGGAGCTGGTACACATATGGGGTCCTGGCGTGTGCGAGATGAGGACCTTAGCCACTTTGCCTACTGTGCTGGGCCCAGGAATAATCCCTTTTGTAGCCTGTGATAGGATTCCCTTTTAAAGTGCTGTGTGATAATCCCTTGCTGTGCTGTCTGCCATTTTGTTCATCCATGTATTCTCGGGTGGCCACTTCAGTGATTCCAGCCTCTCTAGTAGTGGTTAGTGCTGAGTGAACTGAGGTTTCAGTCCCAGATGTCCCAGGGATCGAACTTCTCCATCTCTGGACCATATGGTAGTTGTTCATGATGAGGATACCTTGAGCCTGGGTTAGAATATGTAAACAATTAGTAAACCCTTGATTTTCTTTAATGATTTATTTATTTTACCTTCCAGCAAGGGCTGGATCGCGAACCTTGGTGCTTTGTTTTTTCCCAACAGAAAATGATTTCTGTGCTTTGGGAGCCGTTGTTTGCTTAGTTTAGAGGAAAATATAAAGGTTGCATTGTTTTTTGAGAAAAGTACTCTTTATTAATTTCATCGTTTTAATTTGCAAAACAGGTCGTGGTGGGTCAAAAATACAAGAGATACAAAGTTCAACAAACACCAAAATAAAAGTAAGTCATCTGTTTCTTTTTTTTTTTTAAATGAGCAGTTCTTCCATCAGCTGGTTCGTTTCCTTATGCGAGACCTGGATAGAATTTCAGTTTTATAGAGGTGAGTGGTTGTTGACAAGCACACTTCAAACTCAACTCTTTTCCTTTGCATCTAGATTATTCAGGAAGAAACAGATACTGAAGCGGAGGTAAAAATATTTGGAAACAAAGCAATGCAGACCAAAGCAAAAGCGGTAATAGATAACTTGGTTAAGAAACAAGAAAATTACAATCGAAGTCACAGCAATGTCAACGTCGGTAAGTCTTTTTTGTCTACCGAAGACCACCGGGGTTTTTTTTCAGTATTATTGAGCCATTGTATCTTGTCCCTTCCTTGATCCCAAGCTTTAGTCGTAGACTCAGTGATTACTATTCCTTAACCTCACAATACATTTTCCCTTAAATTGTAATTATTATATGGATAAGAATTATTCATTATCCACAGGTAAATGAAATTGAAATAAACTTTTAACGTGCTCAGGTTAGCTAAGGTGGTTGTTTTATCCTGGGCTCCTGGATCATGGATCAACAATGATAATTCCTCAATGCCATGACCGCAGATCAATTTAGGCCAGAGAAAAAGCCATTATGGAGCAGTAGTAATTAGCATGAAAATAAAAACAAACTTGATTTGTGCAACTTGGGTTGCCTCTAGGTGTTTCACATAGGGAGCCTAACTCCAAGAATTCATGTCTCCGTCTGCTTACACGGGAGATAATGTAATGGGTGTGACAGTACTGAAGCATGCAGTGTTCTCAGTATTTTCCTTCTTCAACAGATGTAAGAGTGTATAAGTTGCTAAACAGCAACAGAAACCATTAACAAGACTGGCATAGTACTGTAATAAGAAAATAGAAAACTTTATATTTCAAGCATTCTTTTAGAAAATGGTTTTTGAGTTTTTGTAGTGCCAATTTACTGTGTAAATTATTTGGTGAAAATACTTTATAAACAGATATTGTGGCCTTCCAACCCTCTGAAAAAGAGGTAAACACAGATGCCAACGGTGTTAAAGCTCGACCGTTAATAGACTGGGATCAAATTCGAGAGGAGGCTGTGAGATGGGAGAAAAAAAAGTGGGAAGGTCAGTGTTGTATGCTAAGATTTGCATGTGTTCCTTTTAACTGCAGTTTATTTTTTTTTTTTCATAGCAACTGAGTTTTAAGATTTTATTTTTTTTTTTAGATTTTATTTTATTTTTTTTTTATTTTATTTATTTTTATTGCAAAGTCAGATATACAGAGAGGGGGAGAGACAGAGGGGAAGATCCTTCCATCCAATGATTCACTCCCCAAGTGGCTGCAGTGGCCAGAGCTGAGCCGATCCAAAACCAGGAGCCAGAAGCTTCTTCGGGTCTCCCATGCATGGGTACAGGGTCCCAAGGCTTCGGGCCGTCCTTGACTGCTTTCTCAGGCCACAAACAGGGAGCTGGATGGGAAGTAAGTTCTCCAGGATTAGATCCGGAGCCCATATGGGATCCCGGGTGTCCAAGTGAATCAGAGTAAGAAGGATCTCTGTCTCTCCCTTTCCTACCCTCTCACTTTCAACTAAATAAATGAATCTGAAAGTAAGTAGGAAACCAGGAGTGGGGGAGACTGGAGGGGATACACATAGAACCGATAAATTTGCACCACTACTGTGCTTGAACCAAAGTTGGCCCCGGAAGATTCTAACTAAGCAGAGCAAAGCAAGGCTTTGAATCATAAGAAACATACTCATTCTTTTTGTATGAGTTTGAATTTTAAATAAAATTTGTCACATGTCATGAAGGACAATTTTTCATAGCAAATTAGACTAATCTTAGCTATCAGGTTGAAGTGAAGATAGAGCAACTTCTATAGACCATTTAAAAACTAAGGCATTGATGCATTGTGGCTGAAATTTTAAAAACTTTTTAGTTTTTAAAAGTTTTGATGTTTACATAGTTGATCATGGTTAAGAAGGGTCAAGTGTTAGGGGAAAGTGGATTAGACCCATGTTTCCAAATTTTCTTCCTTCTATAACTGTGGGAAGGGGAAAAACAAGGAGAAAAGCCGTACCCAGCCTCCTAACCATATGGCTGAAAATGAAATGGTTGTTAATGCCACAACTGGTCAGCATCTGTATGTAAGTTTATAGAGAAATCTTGGCAATATGTGATGGAAAACCTGGAGTGGAGATAGGGAAGAGAATGACGATTGAAAAGTTGGTTTTAGATAGTAGAGTAAGGGTTAAAGTCCAGTTTCTTAATGGGATGGACACCATTAAGAAATGGACATTAAGGATGGACATTCCAAGAAAAGGTAAATGTTCTGCTGTTTTTGAAAGTAAATTTGTCAGCTATGAAAGACAAAACTATAAAATTTTTAGGATGACATAAGCTATGGTGGCAAATGATAAAATTGTCTACAGCTATGGAAAGAGTAAATTTTTTTTGAGTTTTGTATGGACAGCTTTTCACAAACATCAATGTAAATTCTGTTTTTTTAACCTTTGTCCCAGATTTACTTCCAATTAAGAAAAACTTTTATGTAGAATCTGAGAATACGAAATCAATGACGGAGGAGCAAATAGACAAATGGAGGTGGGTCATTTTTATTGCATCAGTAAATGTTTTTTTAAGATAATTATTACGAATACATTTATTACAGCAGATAATTATAAACTGAATATAGTCATGCATTGTTGGTCAGTGTTGGTCAGCGGGGAACCACATCTGTGTTAGTGTTCCTAGAGGATTATAATAGAACTGACACAGTAACCATGGGATTTGTGCTAATGGGAAACCCATACAGCCTGCTATATTGATAAAAGTATAGGATATAACCTTGAGACATAATATGATACTTGTTAGTGACTGTACTATACACTGCTATAAAAGCTGCCACAGTTATTCTGACATTTCTCACTGTTCTCCAGTAGTTGAAAATCGAAGAAAATTATCTGATATCTGCACTAGCTTGTAGATGCTTCAGCTCCACTTGTTATGAAGGTTCTATTTTTGTTCTATTGTTAAGGACTATAAATCCAAGATAGAATGATATATGGCTCAGACCTTAGGCAACTAGCAGATCCTGTCCAAAAAGACTTGTTCTTGCATCAGTCGCTGGTTGAGGATTGAGACAATATGCATGGGATGCTGTATTCTCTAGTTTTGCCAAGTCTCATGATCAGTGTTGATGCAGGAATTCTCAGTTTGGCTTTCCTGTTTTATGTACCAAACTTATTGGCCCATTCACGTATTTCCTGTCCAACTCTTCTTGGATCAGGGAGATGAGTTGTTTTCATATAATATATCCCAGCCTTCATGGGTCTTCATGTAATTTTATCTGATTGTAACCAGATGGGCTTTGATTTTCCATACATGATCTGACCTGATTGGGCACCTTTCTGAGTGAAGTATCCAAAACCCACTCAATCTGGTTCTGCTTTTCTATAAAGGAAAGAAAATTTTAATGTAATGTGTGATGACCTGAAAGAAGGTGAAAAGCGTCCTATACCAAATCCTACCTGCTCATTTGAAGACGCTTTTGAAGCTTATCCTGAAGTGATGAAAAATATCACAAACGCGGGATTTGTAAAGCCAACACCAATTCAGGTATGCTTTCTTATTATGTTTTTATTGAATGTCTCCACCCCCATTCTCTTGATCTGATCATCTAACTATAAATAGCTAAGTCAGCAGAAGCAACTATCCTGAGCACTTCACCAACACCTCCTGCCTCCGCCCACACTTACACTGTTCAGTGCTGAGAGGATAGACAGAAAGAGAAGCAGACTTAAATGTTGTTCTTCCTGTTCCAGGCGCAGGTGTGGCCCATCGTCCTACAAGGAATTGATGTCATCGGAGTGGCCCAGACAGGAACTGGGAAGACCTTGTCATATTTAATGCCTGGATTTATTCACCTAGATTGCCAGCCAGTGTAAGAATCCCTATGCCTGAGTTCTCTTTTGGTAGTTTGGTAATTTAACTTTTCTATGGCGTTGCTCAAAAGGTAATGCTAAATGGTGCCAATTTAAAAAATGTGTCACAAAATAAGCAGTGTCTACTACCAACTTTAGAAGAAACATTGGAGAGTGCTTGTTTAAATGATCATGTTTAATGTAGTTCTAGTCAGTGACAAAATGCACCTTAAATGTCAGTGAAAAGGCAGATGTATTTAGTGTAGCTTTTCTGTATTTCCACGTTTATTTTCAACTTAATTTTTGTAATTAGAGAATTTAGAAACTAAACTTTGTCAATTTAAATGATCTACTGAATAGGGAGACATTTTGGCATTCTACCCATTAGTAAGTCAGTCTATCATGTGATTGGGAATTTTACTCATACACTTCACAAATATGCTTAAGTCAGACAAGTTATTAGCACTGAATAAGACAGATAATTTAATACTAATTTTTCTCTCTGCCATAGTGAAAAGAGACCAAGACCTGGGGTGTTAGTTCTTACACCCACTCGCGAATTAGCACTTCAGGTTCAAGCAGAGTGCTCGAAGTACTCATACAAAAATCTTAAAAGGTAAGTCATTTCTTTGGACAGTAAACAGAGCTGTCTTAATGCTCAAGTGGCCTCAAGGGTTGGGTCTAGGCCAGGCAGAAGCCAGGAGCCCTGAGCTTCATCTGAGTCTACCATGTGGTAGACACAGGCCCAGGCACTTGGTCCATTTTCCACTGCTCATTAACAAAGAGCTGGGTTTGAATTGACGTTGAGCAGTCAGAACACAATCCAGTGCCCATATGGGATGTCAAGTGGCACCCCGCACAAATTTTTAAGTGATTTGTTTATATAATCATTGTTTTATACAGAAACAGAATGGCTCAAGATAAATACATATTTATCCCATTCTTGATCCAATAAACCACAAGGTAAAGAAGCAAGGTGCAGAAAAAACCACGAATCTTGATAGAACGTATGGGGTGATAGATGTGGGCACTTCTCAGAAAAGGACAAATAACGCTGGACTCATTATAGAATTAGTGCTTAGGAAAATTGAGATGGAGTTTTGATGTAATAAATTTAGCCTTGACCTCTGAATTTTCTCTTAAAGTGTGTGTGTTTATGGTGGCGGCGATAGAGATGCGCAGATAGAAGATATTTCAAAGGGTGTAGATATCATTATTGCAACACCCGGAAGACTGAATGATCTGCAAATGAATAACTTCATCAACTTGAAGAGTGTAACTTACTTGGTAATTATGGAGTAGGGGGTTGAAATGCTGGGAGAAAAATGAGCCCTTTTTAATTTTTCCATTCTAAACTTATTGCGAAGATGAGATCACAGAACAAGTGGGTTATATTCAGGAGTGGGAGAGGTTGGAGAGAGGAATGTTTAAACTATCTACCCACCTGATCCCATCTTATTCTCCCACTGAGAGATTTCTTGGGCTGTGGAAAGTGAAGATTTATTACATCTTCTGTAGTTACTTCCTTTAGCACATTAGAGTAAAGATTAGAAAATGCTTAAGTACAAAAATTTTAATCATTGGATTTTTTTAAGATTTATTTTTATGGAAAGGCAGATATACAGAGAGGAGAGAGAGGAAGATCTTCCATCTGATGGTTCACTCCCCAAGTGGCCACAATGACTGGAGCTGAGTCAATCCAGAGCCTCTTCCTGGTCTCCCACATGAGTGCAGGGTCTAGGACACCTTGGGACGTCCTCGGCTACTTTCCCAAGCTACAAGCAGGGATGTGGATAAGAAGAGGGACCAATGGAATTAAAACCAGTACCTATAAGGGATCCTGGCGCATACAAAGCAAGGACTTTAGCTGCTAGGCTATCACACTGGGCACTGGGTATTTTATATGTAGATTTTATATGTAGATTTTCCTGAAATAGGCAATTGAAAAGTCAACTAAAATAAACCAGTGTTCCTTGTAACTATAGATAAGTTTATTATTTTTGCCTATGTGGAGAAATAAAAATAGTTTACTTAGTTATAGGAGAGGTGAGTGTTAAGATATTTCACAAATATAACCCAGTGGCTGTTCTTCATTATTATTGCAGGTGTTGGATGAAGCAGATAAGATGTTAGACATGGGGTTTGAACCCCAGATAATGAAGATTTTGTTAGATGTACGCCCCGATAGGCAAACAATTATGACGAGGTAGGTATGCCTATTTACTACATGTAAAATATGTTATGGTTATTCTCCAACTTATCCATGTTTATTCTCTAAGGTTTGAAAAATGACTTGAAAGTGATATGACTGACTACTGTATTCTGACTGTTGGATTTCCTAGATTATAGATTTCTATAGAAAAAACCATACTTCTAGAATGTTCTAACATTAGAGATTAGTTTTGGATACAGAGTATATATATATTTTTTAAGATTTATTCATTTTTGGGCCCGGTGCAGTGGCGCAGTGGTTAAGGTACTCGCCTTGCACGCCCGGGATCCCATATGGGCGCCGGTTCTATCTCAGCAGCCCCACTTCCCTTCCAGCTCCCTGCCTGTGGCCCGGAAAAGCAGTCGAGGACGGCCCAAAACTTTGGGACCCTGCACCTGAGTGGGAGACCCTGAAGAGGCTCCTGGCTTCGGATCGGCATAGCATCGGCCGTTGTGCTCACTTGAGGAGTGAATCATCGCACGGAAGATCTTCCTCTCTGTCTCTCCTCTCTGTATATCCGCCTTACCAATAATAAAAAAAAAAGATTTATTCATTTTTATTACAAAGTCAGATATACAGAGAGGAGGAGAGACAGAGAGGAAGATCTTCCATCCGATGATTCACTCCCCAAGTGAGCCGCAACAGCCAATGCTATGCTGATCTGAAGCCAGCCGGGAACTAGGAACCTCTGCCGGGTCTCCCTCACGGGTACAGGGTCCCAAGGCTTTGGGCCGTCCTCAACTGCTTTCCCAGGCCACAAGCAGGGAGCTGGATGGGAAGTGGAGCAGCCAGGATTAGAACTGGCGCCCATATGGGATCGCGGGGCATTCAAGGCGAGGACTTTAGCTGCGCAAGGCCACACCACCGGGCCCTGGATACAGAATTTATTTTTGCCCAAGATAAAATTGGGAAGTTTAAATCCAGAGAAAAAGAAAAAGGCATAAAGAATTTTGTATAATATAAAGTTATATAATTGAGTAACATGCTAAAGCAAAAAGTCTGCATTTTAGTGAAAATGAAATATATTAAATTACAGTAAAGACAAAAGATAGGAAACATACATAGAGGAAATGTGTATATATTCTATATTATATGTTAAATTAAATTATATGTTAAATTAATTATATATTATATTAAATCCTTTCGAAAAGATACACTAGTAACTGGCATAATACACACTTTGTTTTAGCTTATGACACTGTGGTTATAGGATTTTTGTGGTTTTTGTATTTTTCTCATGAGTAAAATGATTGATAGTATGCTTAAGGAAATTTAGTAATGTTTGGCATATGATAAGTTTTTAATGTTGCATTTTTATTTTCAGTGCCACCTGGCCATATGGTGTTCGTCGACTTGCACAATCATACTTAAAAGAACCAATGATTGTATATGTTGGAACGTTGGATCTGGTCGTAAGCATCTTTTTGTATCAAAATGTTAGGGATCTACAAACTCCCAGGAATCTGTTAGAAGCTATATTAAATTATTTTAAATTGGCAGTGTTAGGGAAATTTAAGAACATAGCTAATTTTAGCATGCTTACTCTTCTTAGCCCTCAGTTTAGAGCAAATCCCAGATTCAGATGCTTAATCTAAATTTCCATGTATGTGTAAAAGATTCCTTTCAACCTAACCAGTGCTGTTATTTTACCTCAAAGTTTCATAACTTGCAGTACCACCACCTGTCTGATCATGTTTCCTGTCTGAGGTTAGGAAGTTAGGGTAAGCTATTGGATTCAAATATCAGACTCCTCCATTGTGAAACTAGCTTTTCTTTTAATCAATAATTTTATACCTTGGTTTCAATTTAGTATTTCATTCAAAATTGTGAGAAATAATATGATTTCTCTATTTATCAAAATCTTATCAAGAAAGACAAGGTTTTAAGTCCAAGAATGGTCTCATTGGTATTTAGTTTCCACCCATGATTATATCGCTGCGATGAGAATTAGTTATTGTCAAGTATTCAGATGTTGTCAAATTATTCTGTATGACTAAGTAAAGCGAAAGGGTGAGCTACAAACCTTCAGCAGAAATAATCAGTTTTGTTGTGATGGCCTCCGTTAGAAATTTCTGCAAATATTATTTGGAATTGTGTGTTACCTTCAATCATCTTTTTTTTTTTTTAGGCTGTAAGTACAGTAAAGCAAAATATAATCATCACTACAGAAGAAGAGAAACGAATGCATATACAGAAATTCCTAGAAAATATGTCACCTAAAGACAAAGTGATAGTTTTTGTCAGCAGAAAATCTGTGTAAGTAGTTTAAGTAGTTTGAACTTTGATTATTATTTTTTTTAATTTTATTGTTGTTTGCATTGTATTATGTGGTGCAGTTTTATAGGCGCTGGGGATTCCCCCCACCCCTCCCATACCCCTCCCCCCATGGTGGATTCCTCCACCTTGTTGCATAACCATAGTTCAAGTTCAGTTGAGATTCATTCCTTGCAAACACATGCCTAGCATAAAGTTCAGCGTCTTATTGTCCAGATAAGTTCAGTGGCCTCTTGGGGAGACCTTCTCTGGTCTGAAGGTAGGGCTAACAGAGTAAAGATCCGGTCAGTTAAAAGCCCCAACAAAACCTCAGTATCAATATACAACATTATGGAATTAATTGAACTTTGATTATAATCAAATTATGTACTCATTTCCCAAAAGGATGACTTATCTGATATTCAGATTTTTGCTGGAAAAAAACCACTGGATTGATAGTCGTAGAACAATCACCTGGACTGTCAGGTGTGCTGGCTCCATTATTTCTCTTAAATAAATTCTGCTATCATGGTTACTATTAAGAACAAACAAGGATACATAATACAATTACATAAAATCACTGACAACATTCTTCGCTTCAGGGCTGATCATTTGTCGAGTGACCTGGTTCTTCGGGACATTTCAGTAGAATCTCTACATGGCAATAGAGAACAAAGTGATCGGGAGAAAGCATTGAAAAACTTCAAAACAGGTATGTTTAGAACCAGGATTGGCTGCATAGCAGCATCTTTGTCCATGGTGCCTCTTTCTAACTGAAGGATCAGGTAGCCAAATTGCTAAAAGACAAATGCAAACATTTGACTATTGATCATAATTTGTAAATAAGGTTATATCAGTTTAATTCAAAACTTTTTTTTTGTGACATAGTTCAGAAACCACTTTAACTTGTTTTTAAACCTCTCAGCTGTTAAATAGCCCTAAGTGAGACAAGTTAGAATTAGCAATAGTGGTTTCCCTGATTGGATAAAAATGGTAACTACTCTCTTGGTGTCTTAGTTTGGTTTATGTCAGAATAATTAATTTTACTTTGCTACTCATTAGGCAAAGTGAGAATATTAATTGCTACAGACTTAGCGTCTCGTGGATTGGATGTTCATGACATAACACACGTCTATAATTATGATTTCCCACGAAATATTGAAGAATATGTCCACAGAGTAGGACGCACTGGGAGAGCTGGGTAAGTAGGCATGTTATACCCTGGAAATGGTCTGGTTTCTGAATTCTCATTGTTCATATGTAGTTTATATGGTTTGTCCTATTAGTATGACTAGAAAACACTATGACATCTTTTCATGCTATTTAGCAGCTGCAAATAACAGGCAGTTATCTATGCCTATAAAAGGACTTGGGCATCCGAGGGCCTTGGTATTTTGAGGGGACCTCCCTGGAACTAGTCCCTCCTGATTTGAGGGATGACAGTCTGGGTTACAAATTGCTATTTTGTGTCCGTATCTCAGCTAGTGAGAAAGTTGGGTTCCCTATTTGTTTGTTTGTTTGTTTGTTTTTTATTTAGTCTTAGCTGAATCATGAATGCGTATTATAAATCAGCTAACATGATTTTTCTCTTTCCACCCCATCCTGAAGAAAATCTGGTGTATCAATAACTCTAATCACTAGAAATGATTGGAGAATTGCTTCAGAATTGATAAATATTCTGGAAAGAGCAAATCAGGTGAGTCTGCAATTCATTAGAAATCTACCTCTTTATCACATGTACAGTATATTATAGAAGGTATTAGTGCAAAGAAGAAATATCCGAGAAGATTTAAAATATGGTGTGAGGGTTATGACAAAACAAACTATGGCATAGACAAGGAACTATGCCACCATATAATTGGGGGATTTATTCTAATACGGGTGTGCAATGAAAGCTTTGAGAATAAAAAAAAAAAATGGGTACAAGTATAACAAATGAAGCCAGGGTAATAGGTAAGCAAGCCCAAGGTAAGAATATGTAGGAAATATTATGGGAAGCTGTTTTAGGGTACTGGGAAGCAGTAGAAGGCCTATGCAAGCAGAGAGTAACCTGCCTTGGGGTCTTTGAGACCCATTTAGTTATATAGCCTGCATGCTCAGACATTTCATTCTAATGGAAGGATCCTGGGCAATGTGCATATTCTGAGTGAATGGGAGGGATTTTAATATGTTATGGAAATAGGACTCAATCCTAATAACACATTTTTATTTCAGAATATACCAGAAGAGCTAGTGTCGATGGCTGAACGATACAAAGCAAGCAAATTAAAGAGAGAGACGGAAAAAAAAATGGCAAGAATGCAAGGGAAACCTAATAAGTTTTATTAATGATGTTTTATTGAAAAGTGATATTAGCCTAACAGGTAAAATGTTACCTAGTAGGCTTTCTAAATCTTTGTTTAATTATTAGGTGTCTAAAGTCTAATGTATGTTCAGATTTACTAATTCAGAGTTGAAAAGTTGTATAGTAAATTGGTAAGGTGTTGGAGAAACTTTAATGTGTTAATGGCAAACACATACCTTTTGATAGAGCAGTTCTTTTAGGATTATATTTTATAAATAGGTCTGTTTATAGGAAATTGAAAGCATTGTTTACACTAGGTTGTAACAAATGAATGTAACATAAATAGGCACTAGATGCCTTAACCAGTATATTGGGACTGCTATGCTATGAAGATCATGTGATCCATCTTTAAAGATATCTATTAACAGCAGAAAAACAAAGATATTAGGATGGCAGATTGTTCTTTCTGGAAATTCTAGATGTAACATTCCCAAAACTGGATGATGGATAAGAAGCAATGATTCTGTATGTTGTAAAACATTTGCATAATAAAAGTAAATTGGCTAACCAATGGATGTAGCCTGAACATGAATTTTGCTGTGAGCTGGAGGAGGTGGGGAGCGAAAAAATAAACAGCAAAAACCCTGTGCATGCTCAAGTCAGCCCCAAAGATTTATTTATTTTTATTACAAAGTCAGATATACAGAGAGGAGGAGAGACAGAGAGGAAGACCTTCCGTCTGGTGATTCACTCCCCAAATGACTGCAACAGCCTGTGCTGCGCCGATCCAAAGCCAGGAGCTTCTTTCCAGGTCTCCCACACGGGTGCAGGTTCCCAAGGCTTTGGGCCATCCTCTAATGCTTTCCCAGGCCACAAGCAGGGAGCTGGACGGGAAGTGGAGCAGCCGGGATTAGAACTGGCGCCCATATGGGATCCTGGGGCTTTCAAGGCGAGGACTTTAGCCTCTAGGCCATGCCACCGGGCCCTCAAGCCATTATTTCAAGTAAGAGCTTGCAGAGATCACTTGCCAAAGTGGCTTTTGGTTTTGAATGTCTGAGTAGGGCAAGGGGAGCCCCCCGAACACTGAACTGAACACAAAAGAACTCTTAACAGACTGCAACATGACCAGTGGTTTCTTCACCTTTGGACATGTTAAACCTGTACAGAGAAGCCCAGATCAGATCGTGACCAAACAATTATAAATGTACAATCATCCTGCTAAATCTCTTTCAATGCTGAGGACAGGAAAACACGTCTGCATACACTCTTTGGAGTAAAGGTGCCATCCCTGTGGATTGGTACAAAAACTACTCAACATTTTAGCATGTGATCCAGCAGTACATTCAAAGTGTTGTATGGGTTTATTTCTGGAATGTATGGACTAGAACAAACCACATTAATAAATGAAAACAAAAACCTCAACTTTATAGAATAAAGCATTTGAAAAATTCAACAATCTAGGAATAGAAGGAAGCTAAAAACTTAAGGGAGGAGACAGAGAAATGTCTTCCGTCCACTGGTTCACTCCCCAAGTAGCCACAACAGCCAGAGCTAAGTGGATCTGAAGCCAAGAACTAGGAACTTTCTCCTAGTTCTTCTTTTTTTTTTTTTTTAACGATTTGTTTATTTATTGGAAAGGCAGATGTACAGAGAGGAGGAGAGACAAAGAAGATCTTCCATCCGATGATTCACTCCCCAAGTGGCCGCAACGTCCGGTGCTGCACTGATCCAAAGCCAGGAGACAGGAACCTCCTTCTGGGTTGCCCACGTGGGTGCAGGGTCCCAGTGCTCTGGGCCGTCCTCTAATGCTTTCACAGGCCACAAGCAGGGAGCTGTGTGAGAAGCGGAGCTGCCGGGATTAGAACAGGCGCCCATATGGGATCCTGGCACTTTCAAGGCAAGGACCTTAACCATTATACTTTCACGCTGGGTCCCTCCTAGTTCTTCTTTGGGGTCTTTTTTTGGAGCTCCCACATGGGTGTAAGGTTCCAAGGCTTTGGGGCCATCCTGCTACTTTTCCAAGCGATGAGCTGGGAGTTGGATGGGAAGAGGAATAGTTGGGATATGAACCAGTGCACATATGGCATCCCCCTATGCATGCAAGTAGCCACTAGGCTACCGTGATGGGCCCAAGAAATTTTTTTTAAGGCTTTTGAAATTTATTTTTATTGGAAAGACAGATCAGATTTGCAGAGAGGAGAGTGCCACCCACATGGGAGACCCAGATGGAATCCCTGGAGCCTGGCCTCAACCTGGCACAGTCCAGAGTAAACCAGCAGATTAAAGATCTCTTTCTCTCTCTCTGCCTCTGTGTCTTTCTGTCACTATGACTTCCAACTAAAGAAGAGCAGCCGGTACAGTGACTTACCAGGCTAATCTTTAACCTGTAGCACCCAAATCCCATATGGGTGCTGCTTCAAGTCCTGGCTGCTTCACTTCTGATCCAGCTCTGCTATTGGCCTGGGAAAGCAGTGGAGCCCCTGCACCCATGTGGAAAACCAAGAAGAAGCTCCTGGCTTCTGGCTCAGGATCAGTTCAGCTGTGGCTAGTCCTAAACACATCTCTCTGTAAACCTGCCTCTCATGAGAATCAGAGTGGGATGAAGGGAGGGAAGAAGGAAGGAAGCTGCTAATGTTTTTGGGAATCCCCTGAAATTGAAGTGGTATTAGAAATGAGGGTGTTTTGGGGATCCCTCAACTGAACTGCTGGACCCAAAACCCAAAGCATAGAGAAAATTGCAATTTCCACGGTCTAACTGTGGAGTGCATGTGTCAGAGCTGGCTTTGATGAGGCAGTGGACAGCATACTCAAGGGCACATGGAAGATATGGTAGTACGTTGGAATCTGAGAACACCTGGTATGACAGAGGACAGATGTGTTGGCAGTGAATATTTGGGCAAATGGAGACTCTAAGGTGGACTGCATCAACTAGTGGATTCTAGAGAGACTTCATCATGCTTGGAGATGGGCAGTAATTCAGACTATTGAACTATCAAAACCTCCTGAGCAGGACCCTCAAAATATGCCCCACCTCAGAGACCCTGGGATAATGTCGGGTGGCTGTCCTCCATCCCAAGGTACAGAGGTGTTTGGGAGGCTGGGTATGGCTTCTCTCCTTATCTTCCCACTCCCCCCAGATATAGGAAGAAAAAAAGAGAATGTTGAAATGGTGTCACCCACCTTCCTGTAGCCCTTGACCCTTATCACTCTAATGAACTATAAAAATTCTCAAAGGTTAAAATTTTTCTCTAAAAGAGTGTTTTCTTTTTGTAACCGTTCTAAGTGTACAGTTGGCTAAAGTAACACACATCCTTTCCTCTGAGTATGGGGGGAGCTATTTCACTTCCAATTAGTAGAATATGATAAAGGTAATAGGATGTACGTAATTATGTGAACATAACTATGCTAAATAGGACAGTGGCAGCCCTCTTGGTAGACTACATCCCTGTGGTTTTGACTACTGAGCCATTTTTAAGGGCTATCTGTGTTGAGATGCTCCCCCTGGTAACGAATCAATGGCAGCTTCTAGAAGCTGAGAAAAACATATTTGATAGTAAGAAACTAAAGCGGTCAGTATAAGCAACTAAATTCTCCCAACAGAAATGGATCCCACTCCCATCAAGCCTTAGACGATTACCTTGACGGGACACCTTGATTCTAGTAATCTGAAACCCCAAGCAGAGCCATGATGAGAATCATGACACATAAAAACCAATTCCGTCTGGGTCTCCCTCATGAGAGCAGGGGCCCAACCACTTGAACCACCTTCGTCGCTTTATTCGAAAGACAGTGTTAGAGCTCTTCCATCTGCTGTTTCACTCCCCATCTGCTGCAGTGGTACGCTTGGGCCAGGCTGAAGCTGGGAGGCGGGGGCTTCATCCATATCACCCACATGGATGATAAGGAGTTCAAACTCTTCGTTATTGTTTATTTTTTTTATTTTTAAACATTTTTCCTTATTTTAGTGTTTGTTTTGTTTTGAGCTCAAACTCTGTGAGTCACTCAGCTCTGACTCTCCCCCCCCAGTCCATCAGCAGGCAGTGAAATAGGAAGTGAAGTAGCCTGGACTCCATCTGGTGCCCATATGAGATGCCAGCACTGAAGGTGGTGGCTCTAATAAGTATACCATAATGCCAACCCCTATGATGGCTAGATATGCATTTACTTGAAAGGCAGAGAGAGAGAGAAGAAAAAAAAAATCTTGCATCAGCTGATTCACTCCCTAAAGCCCACAGTAGTCATTTGGTCAAAGTTAAAACTCAGAAACAACATGCAAGATCGCCCACATGGTTAAGGGAGCTGTCTCCTAGGGTGCATGCCAGAAGCTGGAATTAGTAGTGGAGTCAAGACTTTAACCGCAGGCAATAGGATGCCTGCATCCCAAGCACTGAACCAGACGCCCATCCCTGTATATGAGTGTAGTTTTAAGCCACTAAGTTTGTGGTTACTTGTCACATAATAACAGAAAATTAGCACAGTCCCCACTTTCTCCCCCACATCACCACATGGGCACTAAGCTTGTTGCTGCATCCTCTGCACAGTCATAATTTTGACAAGAACAATACTCATTGATATTAGTACTACGGCTATAAATACAGCAAATATTCTCAGAGCAGACTATGATTACTTCTCTTGCACACATTTGTTTTATAATGTTAAATGTAACTTGCATTTTTTGTTTGCTTAGTGTTCTTTTTAAAAAATTGTTTTACTTAATTGGAAGGTAAAGTTAGAGATCTTCCATCTGTTGGTTCACTCCCCAAATCACAGCAATATCCAAGACTGGACAAAGAGAAGCCAGGAGCTTCCAGATCTCACAGGTATTTGTATCATCTTCTGCTGCTTTTGAAAGTGCATTATCGGGGAGCTGGATGGATTATGGAGCACCCAGATCTGAACTGGCACCAATATAGGATGCTGGCACCTCAGGGCCAGCCCCCAACCTAGTTTTTTATTTGTTTATCATTCATTGTCTCCAAAACTCTATTCCTGATGCCTAAATTTTCTCTTAGTGTTTCAGGTATTTTTTTTTTTTAAGATTTACTTATTTTTATTGGGAAGTGGGATTTTTTACAGAGAGAAGGAAAAACAGATCTTTTATCTGCTGGTTCACTCACAAATGGTTGCAATAGCCAGAGCTGAGTCAATCTGAAGCCAGGAGCTTCTTCTGGGACTCCCACATGGGTGCAGGGTCCCCAGGCTTTGGGCCATCCTCCACTGCTTTCCCAGGCCACAGCAGGGAATTGGATGGACAGTGGAGTAGCCAGGACACCCATGTCTATACAGGTGTCTATATGGGATCCTGGAGCATGCAAGGTGAGGAATTCAGCCACTAAGCTACTGTACCAGGTCCAGCATTTTATTTTTTAAAAGACTTATTTTTATTTTATAAGACAGATTTACAGAGAGAAGTAGAAATAGAGAAAGTCTTCCTTCTGCTGGTTCACTCCCTAAATGGCAATAATGGCCAGAACTAAGCTGATCTCAAGTCAAGAGTCAGGAGCCCGCTCCAGGTCTCCAACATGGTTGCAGGTGCCCAGGGATTTGGATCAACCTCTGCTGGGTTACCAGGCCACAAGCAGAGAGTCAGATCAGAGGTAAAGAAGTCAGAACATGACCTGGTGCCCATATGGATGTTGGAGCCACAGGATGCATTAGCTAGATGTGAAACTGCCGCCCCAGCATTTCCTTTTTAAGTGAAACTTTTCTTTTAGAGAGATTTATCTATTTATTTGAATAATAATTATAGAGAAAGAGGGAAAGACAGATCTTCCATCTGCTAATTTACTCCTCAAATGGCCACAATAGCCAGGGCTGGGCCAGGCTGAAGCTATGAGCCTGGGACTCCGTCAGGGGCTGGATCAGAGGCAGAGTGGCCAGAGCGTGAACCAGCATTCATATGGGCTGCTGGCATCATCAGAGGCAGCTTAAGCTTCTCTACCACAACACGAGCCCCTCTTAGCATTTTCAAACATAGTAGGCGCTCATTAGGGTCCTGGTTGTTCCACTTCTGATCCAGCTCCCTGCTGATACCCTGGGAAGACAGCGGAGGATGGCCCAAGTGCTTGGACCCCTGCACCCACTCTGGGATTTGGAGGAAGCTCCTGCTCCTGGCTTTGGACTCTGCCTGTGGCGGCCATTTAAGGAGTGAAACAGCAGATAGATCTCTTTTTCTGTTACTCCTTCTCTGTCCCAACTGCCTTTACAATAAATAAATAATTGTTTTTCATTGAAAAGTAAGATATACAGAGAAGAGGAGAAGAAGAGAGGAAGATTTGCCGTCCAATGATCCACTCCCCAAGTGACTGCAACGGCCAGTGCTACGACGATCTGAAGCCAGGAGTCAGAACTTCCTCCAGGTCTCCCACGTAGGAGCAGGGTCCCAAGGCTTTGGGCTGTCCTCGACTGCTTTCCCAGGTCACAAGCAGGGAGCTGGATGGGAAGTGGAGCTGCCGGGATTAGAACTGGCACCCATATGGGATCCCAGTATGTTCAAGGCAAGGACTTAAGCCACTAGGTCACCGCGCCAGGTCCAAATGAACAAAACTTTAAAAAAATATAGTAAGTTGTTAAACCAGAAGTATAAAGTACAAACGTTTTAAAAAAGACTCAAATACTAAAGTACATTAAAAATTTTAAACTTTACTAAAAGACATCAGTAAAGGAAAAATTGCTTTTTACATAGATTACAGGCAAAGAGTAGTGTGCTAAATGTAAAAAGGACAATACAGTGAGAAAAAGGCGAACCATCCAATGAAAAAAAAACCCCACAAAATTTATGCCTAGGGAGGAGTTAGAGAGCAGCTGCGGGCTGCAGCAGGCTGAGCACGGGCTGAGAAGCAGGAGAGCCCATTTCCCCTGCGGCATTTCTCTGGGTGGGATTCCGTGTGTGCACCGCCTTTTCAGAAAGTACACACAGAACGTTAGAAATGTGACTGAAAACAAAATAACTTATATTTTATATTAGTTGTATATATTAAGTTCCTTATATTTTTTTAAGATATTTAATTCCGGAGACAGATATTTTTGTTTGCTTTTTCCATTTTTTTTTTTTTTTTTTGTCTGCTACAGGTCAAGACATTGTTTCCAAATACTTTTATAGTCTGAACAAAGCACATGTGTTGGAAGCAATGAGAGTGTCTCATAGTGTCTCTTATAAACCTCCCTCACCTGGGCTAGGTGACAGCAGGTGTCTAATAGGAACTTAATTTAACGAAGGTGATCTTACATTTTATCCTTTTCTTCACTTCAACGTGGTATTGTTCTGTGATTTGTTTTGCTCAATGCCAAGTGACAAGAATTTTTCCTTGAATAACTTGTATTTCATGCATGAGTAGGACAGTACATCCCCGCATTAAAGACTTTGGGAGAAAAGGCCTTTGAACAGTGAACTCATCCAATTTTCTGTCTCGTGGCATATTTTCAGGCTTTAAATATTTCTTCTGCTTCTCGTTCCTGAACTAACGTATTGCCCTGAGATAGTTAGTTCTCTCTGCCCATGGATTAGAATTTCTTGCGATACACTGCGACAGCAATAATCATCTGCACTCATTTTCAGGCAAATTGCAATTCTCTTAAGTTTGAGTCACTCCTATTCTGGATGCTTTTCTAAACATAATTTCAAAATTCACTAAAAACTGGATATCCGTTGTTTCTTTCATATTCAATTTGCTCTAACAGAAAGTCTTTACTTTTCTTGTCAATTTGGTCTTGAGAAAATAAGTTGACTGTAGGGATAAAATAGTGGTTCAGGCACTCCGTCCTGAGGCAACAGAGAAAGTACTCCACACAGTTGTTAAAGCAGACGCTCACATTTTTGGAGTCCCACTTGTCATCACCCGGGTACTTGGTACAGGTGTGGAAAAAGGCAGTTTTCACATGGTAGGAACAGAATTTATCCAGTTTTTTTTGGTTTTCAAACTTTTTCTTCAGTTGTTCTAAAAGGTATTTCATTAGTTTTAAGCAATCTTTCCTGTTAAATAAAAAAGAAAACCATTTATTTTTACCTACTTACAAACTACATCATTCTACAGAGGATTTTAAGCAGTAACAATACACAATAGTTACTATAAGATGTATTTCATTATCCTATAGTTTTAACAATTATCATTATTGAAGTTTTGTTTTTAATTTTTAAATTTATTTTAGCAATTTGAAAGTTATAGAGACACAGCAAGAGACAGACTGATCCTGCATCCACGGGCTCACTCCCCAAATGCCCGCAACAATTGGGTTCAGGCCAGGCTGAGTCCAGGAGACCCCAGTTTCCTGAATAGGTTGCAGTAACCCAAGTACTTAAGTCATCAGCTGCTACCTCCTGTAGTGTGCACTGGCAGGAAACTGGAACTGGAAGAAACCTAGGACTCAACCCAAGCACTGTAGCATGGATGTGGACAACCACCATACCAAATACCACTTCCAGTTTGGAAACTTTAAAAACAGATTGCTTGGGCCCGGCGCGGTGGCGCAAGTGGTTAAAGGTCCTCGCCTTGCACGCCCGGGATCCCATATGGGCGCCGGTTCTAATCCCGGCAGCCCTGCTTCCCTTCCAGCTCCCTGCCTGTGGCCCGGGAAGGCAGTCGAGGACGGCACAAAGCTTTGGGACCCTGCACCTGCGTGGGAGACCCGGAAGAGGCTCCTGGCTTCGGATCAGCATAGCATCGACCATTGCGCTCACTTGGGGAGTGAATCATCGGACGGAAGATCTTCCTCTCTGTCTCTCCTCTCTGTATATCCGCCTTTCCAATGAAAAAATAATAAAAAATAAATCTTAAAAAAAAAAAAAACAGATTGCTTTTTCTCTATTCCCCATTCCTAGCTTAACTACAAAAATACTGTTTTAATTTTTGTGAAATGAAATTTTACTTGATTGGACAGCAGATATTTCTGCTATTCACCCAGTTGTGTAATAGTTATGGAATTATTTTTGCCTTATCAGAAATGTTTTTTTATGCTTCTTTGACAGATTCCATTTGAAGTTTTAAGGAACTTCTGTGCCTGAATATTGAACATTTTTCTCTTGAGTTTTTAACTTTCACGTCTTTAAAATTCTTTATTTGAAATGAAGAGTATAAGATAGAGATTTTTTTTTTTTTTAAGATTTATTTTTATTATTTTGTTATTGGAAAGGCGGATATACAGAGAGGAGAGACAGAGAGGAAGATCTTCCGTCCGATGATTCACTCCCCAAGTGAGCGCAATGGTCGATGCTATGCTGATCCGAAGCCAGGAGCCTCTTCCGGGTCTCCCACGCAGGTGCAGGGTCCCAAAGCTTTGGGCCATCCTCGACTGCCTTCCCGGGCCACAGGCAGGGAGCTGGAAGGGAAGCAGGGCTGCCGGGATTAGAACCGGCGCCCATATGGGATCCCGGGCGTGCAAGGCGAGGACCTTTAACCACTTGCGCCACCGCGCCGGGCCCAAGATAGAGATTTTTTAATCTGTTGGTTCTCTCCTTAAAATGGTTACAATGGTTAGGGTCAGGCCTGGCCAAAGCCACGAGCCTGAACTCCATTGGGGTACTTGGGCTAACTTTGCTTTCCCATGCAGCTTAACAGAAAGCTGGATCTGAGGGAGAGCTGCCAGGACATGAATTGACTCCCATACTGGATAGTGGTATCAGAGGCTTAACTCATTATACCACTTTTAACACTGCTTAACTTCGGACATCCCAGTGAAAAATTCCTTTTAAATCTCAGGGGTTTTTAGTTTTAGTTTGTTTTCTTTCTTTTCTTTTCTTTTCTTTTTTTTTTTTTTAAGGCATGCATGCTAGCAAGAAAGATTATTGCCCTGTTAGTGCTGTTTCAAGTCTGGCCTTTAGTCCCTAACTTTCAAGAGAAACAAACCATGCTGAAGAAAGCAACACATCCCTTAAGAAGGATCTCTGGGAGAGGCGCTTGGCACAGCTGACTCCCACATCCCGGGAGCGCCTGGCTTCCTGGCCAGCACACACATTTGGGGAATGAATCAGAGGATAGTTTATTACTCTGCCTCTCTTCTCTTTCACACATATGGTGAACGGACCAGCAGATGGGACCTCTCCAATAGTTCTCAAATGAACATAGTATATTTTTTAAAGATTGATCCTTTCAGCAAACAGAATACTAAGACATTTGCAGTAGTCCTAGTTAGCATTCATACTCTTTTACTCTGTTCTACTTACACAGTTGTCTAACCCAGGGGCTCAGGACTACTGCTCTCTGGCTTCGCCTTCCAGCAGCACCTTTTCCTTGGTCCCTTGGAGCTGGCTTCTCTGGCTTCAGCCTCACACTCCCATCCAGGTCAGTCCAGCCCTGCTCTGTCCCACAGGCCCTGCCTGGCCATGAACAGCTGCAGGTTTGAACTACGCAGTCAGTAGGACTTACATATACCAGGGGTAATCTGCCATTGAGCAAAATGAAGATGTTACCTGCAGCATTTCTGTTCGTTATGACAGCAAAGTTTGTTTTGTCCGTGGTCACTTAAAATGTCCTTTTCAATGTTAGAGAAGGATAACCGCCATGTTTCTTCTGAATTTCAAAGAGAAAAATAGAAGAGTCATTTATCAAAAAGCATCTACATCTAAAGAACTCACTATTTAAGAGATTTCCTTCACTGAACCATCATTCCAAAAACAATTATACAAGAAGGTAGATTATAGGGAATGATTTCACATCAGGGCAATTAAAAAATATTTTAAGTGCTTTGAAGAAAATTGGGCACAAATGAGGGAAATGGAAGAGCAAAGGAGGAAATCAGAGCTTAATATAATTAGATGAGATGTACTGCCTCTTATAAATTATTAAAAACTTTGTAAATACTTTGTTTCAGCAATAAATTACAAAAAAATCAATCTATGTTTGGGTTACAGTCCTTGCCAGTTAAGGTATTAGTATAAAATAAGTTGAACAATCTTTCTGTCTGTTCTTGTGAGTTTAAGATTAGAATGATAGAGTTCAGTGAGATAGTCTAGTGGTTAAACCCTCACCTTGCATGCACCAGGATCCCATACGGGTGCCGATTGGTAGCCCAACTGTCCCACTTCCCATCCAGCTCCCTGCTTGTGGCCTGAGAAAGCAGTAGAGGACAGCCCAGAGCCTTGGCACCCTGCACCCACGTGGGAGACTCGGAGGAAGCTCCTGGCTCCTGGCTTTGGATCGGCTCAGCTCCAACTGTTGTGGCTACTTGGGGAGTGAACCAGCAGATGGAAGATCTGTCTGTATCTCCTTCTCTCTGTAAATCTGACTTTCCAATAAAAATAAATATTTTTTTAAAAAAAGATTAAAATGATAGCTTGCCAAGTTTTGACCATGAGTACTTCTTTTAGGTTCTGATCATCCTTGTACCTATGTCATTTTACACCAGGTTTATAAATAGAGAAGAAATATAATCTAAACATAAACAGAATAGGGAAGAGTAGCATTTACAGCCATCCTAACAGACACATGAATTGTACCAAATCAAATATTGGGCCCAGCGCAATAGCTTTGTACTGAAGTCCTCTTCTTGAATGTGCCAGGATCCCATATGGGTGTCAGTTCTAACCCCAGGAACACCGCTTCCCATCCAGCTCCCTACTTGTGGCCTGGGAAAACAGTTGAGGATGGCCCAAAGCCTTGGGACCCTGCACCTGTGTGGGAGACGCGGAAGAGGCTCCTAGCTCCTGGCTTTTGATCAGCTCAGCTCTAGCCATTGCGTCCTCTTGGGAGTGAATCAAAGGACGGAAGATCTTCCTCTCTGTCTCTCCTCCTGTTTCTTTATATCTGACTTTGCAATAAAAATAAATAAATAAATAAATAAATCTTTTAAAACTTATATCAGTTCATCCTTTTGGGAAAAGACATTTCTGAGTGAGTCTAGGTGGAAACTGGATTTGATCAAGGATTTACTTTAGAAAACCATAGCAACAGCCTAATATAAGGTTAAAAGTTGTAGGTTCTGCTCTTGAAATCAGGAAGAAGGCAGGTATCTGCTATTTCTGCATCTTCTCAACATGTACCAGGTGTCCTACAAGCAGGATCAGTAAAGGGACAGAGGATTACAGCAGTGGGCGGAGAGAGACAAAGTCTTCATTATGGATAGGTCATATTATTACTTAAATAGGAAACACGGAAAAATCTACAAATAAGTGCACAAAATGAATTTAAAGAGGTACCAAGTTTGTGGACATAAAAAAAAATCTAACGCATGTCAATATATGGCAACCAAAAAATTGGGGTGGGGGAAAGATGCTGTTTACAATGGCCTCAACAGTCCCAACTATTTTCTGGATTTACTTCCCAATGAAACACAGAAGAAAAGCTGACACCGCTGGAATATAAGCTGCAGAACTCTGTGGGAAACTATCGAATAAGTTATCTGCTTCTTCAATGAAAGGGAAAATGAGAGAAGAAACAACAAGCCAAAGGATGCTGCTAACAGACATGTCATTTATTCACAAAGTATCTATTCAGATTCTGATCCAGACAAAGTGCGTGGCTGATGGCGCTACAGGATTACTTCCTGCTGGGACTAACTAGATTGCCACTAAAGCAGGTCCTTAGATACATTAATAAGTTTTTTTTTTTTTTTTACAAGATCTGGCACTTAGCAAACAAATGTAAGTTTACAATCTGACTACATGTCTGTTATTATAGAAAAATGATGGATTTTCTAGTGCAATCATTTTATATATACAAAAGACTTACCATTTATTTGAAGGGCAGAGTTATATAGAGAGAGAAAAGACAGAAAAAAAACCCGTAGATGTTCCGTCCACTGGTTCAATCCCCCAATGGCTACAAAAGGCAGACTTGGGTTATATAGAAGCTGGGAGCCAGGAGCTAACTCTGGAACTCCCAGGTGGGTGCAGAAATCCAAGGACTTGAGCCAATCTCTGCTGAGTTGCCAAGCCATTATCAGGTGACTGGATTGGAAATGGAGTGAGCAGAAAATGAACTGGTGCCCATATGGGATGCCAGAACCACAGGCTAAAGCTTAAGCTACAATGCCATGGTGTTGCCTCCAATAACTACATTTTAAAGTCTTATTCTTTAAAGATACATTGACAATCAAAAATTTAAAAAGGAAAAGAAAAGAAAAAGAAAGGAAAATTAAAAAAATAAAGATATATTGGCATAATAACAATAAAGAAGTGAACAGTGGGCCCAGTGCAGTGGCCTAGCAGCTAAAGTCCTTGCCTTGAATGTGCTGGGATCCCATATGGGCACCAATTCTAATCCCAGCAGCCCTGCTTCCCAACCAGCTCCCTGCTTGTGGCCTGGAAAAGCAGTCGAGGACGGCCCAAAGCCTGGGGACCCTGCACCTGCGTGGGAGAACCGGAAGAGGCTCCTGGCTTCAGATCGGCTCAACTCCAACCATTGTGGTCATCCAAGGTGTGTATCAATGGAAGGAAGATCTTCCTCTCTGTCTATCCTCATCCCTATATATATCTGAGTTTGCAGTAAAAATAAATAAATCTTAAAAAAAAAAAAATGTGAGCAGAAATGCAGATCAATTCATTTTGAGCCATAAGTTAATTGCTGAATCTAGGGGTGAATATACGAGAGTTGATAAATAATTCACTCTATTTTACTATTGATTTGGAATTTCTCAAAATAAAAGAGTTTAAAGGAACAGCATTATGGTGTAACAGGTAAGGCCAGCATCCCACACTGTAATGGAGGTTTCAGTGCTGGTCACTTGACTTCCGATCCAGCTTTCTGCTAACGTGTCTGGTAAAGTAACAGAGGATGGCTCAAGCAGCCAGATGGAGAGCCTGGCGTTGGCCTAGAACGACCCCAGCTGTTGGAACAATTTGGAGGGTAAACCAGAGAACCAAAGACACTCTGTCTTTCTCTTCCCACACCCCCCTTATTATTCTGCCTGTAAAACAAATCTTTAAAACAGGTCAATTGATACATAAAACCTTCTGTAGAAAAAATACATAACATGTAGGAAAATGTTCATAACAATTATGAGAAGGTACCACTCCCACTAGAGGACATGAAAACCAGGACTGAGGCAGACCTGGCTGGACAGAATGGCACCCATCAGCATGTGTGTGGGCTGGATAGTAGGCCTGTTTGGGTTGAACTAGGCTTCAGTGCCCACTGACATGTACGGGAGCTGAATGGGATGTGGGACAGACTGGACTAGTCTGCTGTACACACTGGCAAGCATGGGAACCAGGGCAGGGGATGGGCCTGGTGGGGGTTATTGGGAGTCACCCCAACTAGGCTGTAGCTCCCACTGGTTTGCATGAGGGCTGAATGTGAGGTGGGCAGAATAAGGCTTGACTGCAACACCCATTGGTTTGTGTGGAAGACAGGGCTGGAAACAGAACTGACCCAGCAATTACAACCACCAGCATGTGCATAAGCTGATAGGGGCAATGGACTGTGCCAAACCCTGTACTTGCATGCACACATAAGAATTCGGTCTGGGATCACCTCAGACAAAGTTTCTTTGGGGACCGCTCCAACTGAACTGCTGAACTCAGAACTCCAACCATGAAGGTTCCATGGTCTGACCATGGAGTGCGTTTGTCAAAGACGAGGCTCCTAAGTGCTTTGATGGAGCAGTGGCCAGCATATCCAGATGCACATGGAGGATATGGCAGTCCTCCGGAACCTGCAGAGGACACCCAGTACCATAACAGAGGACAGAGGACAAAACAGTTCTATCATCAACCCCAGCCATGTATTGGCAGTGAAAATCTAAGGGAATGGAGACTCTAAGGTGAATTATGTGAACCAGTGCATTCTGGAGAGATTTTATTGTGCTTGGAATGGCGACATTGGCAGCAATTCAGAACTGTTGAACTATGAAAACCACTTGAGCAGTGCCCTCAGAGCATGACCCACGATGGGGAGCCTGGGAAGGGTGGGTGGGGCTTCTCCCCCTATCTCTCCCCTTACCCCAGATACAGGGGGGAAAAAAACGAATAATGAGAAGGGTCAGTACTGTGGAGCAGGTGAGTGAAGACCCTGCCTGTAGTGCCTACACCCCATATGGGCACAGGTTCAAGTGTTTGTGTTTTTTTTTCCCCGAGGGGGGTGCACCATTCCTGGGGGTGCTGTGATAGCAGGTTAATGCTCAGAGAGGACAGAGCAAACTCCTGAGAAACTTGGATATTCACATGCACGAGATCCTAACAGATCTGCTGTCTCTCACCATATAACCAAATAATCTCCTTAAAACGAATCAATCACCTAAACATAAGACCTGAAGCCATACAAACACCAGAAAAGGCAAAAGTGCATTAAGATATTGAAATGAGACAGAATTTTTTCATTTAGACTTCCAAAAAAATTGGCAATGAAAGTAAAAATAGACACAGGATGTCATAAAACAACGAAAGACTTTGTACAGCACAGTAAATAGTCAATAAAATGAGGAGACGACCTACAGAATGGCAAAAAAATAAATGCTCCCAAGCTACGTATCTGACAAGGCATTAATATCAGGAACATATTAGTAACTGAAACAATTCCATAGTGAAAATAAAAACAAAATAGAAAATCTCCACAAATAATTCAAACAGAAAACAGGTGGTAAATCTGCACATATGTTAAAGGAAGCCGTACACATGATAAGTGCATGATTAAATGTTCAACACCACTATTCTCAGGAAAATGCAAATAAAAACCACAATAAAATATCACCTCACTGCAGGCTCACTGGCCATTATCAAAAGAGAAGTGCTGGTGAGGATGTGGAGAAAAGGCACCTCCGCACACTGTTGTTCCTTCTTTCCAAAGATTAATTTGTTTTTATAGGAGTGTGGGATTTTTTTTACAGAGAGGAGAGACAGAGAGAAGATCTTTCATCCGCTGGCTCACTCTCAAGTGGCTGCAACGGCTGGAGTGGAACCAGTGTGAAGCCAGGAGCCAGGAGCTTCTTACGGGCCATTCTCGACTGCTTTCCCAGGCCACAGGCAGGGAGCTGGAAGGGAAGTGGAGCAGCCAGGATCTGAACCAGTGCCCATTTGGGATCCCAGTGCATGCAAGGCAAGGACTTTAGCCACTAGGATATTGCACCAGGCCCCTCTCTGCACACTGTTGTACATTTGATCTTAGCCAAAAGGCCAAGAAGCCACACTGTTGTAGAAATAGAATTAGTACAGTCATTGTAGGACAGTATGGGAGGTTCCAAAAAAAAAAAAAACACCCACAAATATGGGGTCAGTGTTGTGGTATAGCAAATACAGCTACGGCGGCCTGTGACATCAGCATTCCATATGGATGTTGGTTCCTGTCTCAGTTGCTTTACTTCCAATCCAGATCCTTCATAATGGCCTGGAAAATGTAGCAAAAGATGGCCCAGGTATTTAGTTACCTATCACCAAAGGGGGAGACCTGGATGAAGCTCCTGGCTCCTGGTTTTGGCTTGTCTCAGCAATGGCTGTTGTAGCCACTTGGGAAATAAACCAGTAGATGGAAGATCTCTCTGACTTTCCAATAAATAAGAAAACTAATACAGAATTCAGTTATCCCACTGCTGTGTATATATATACACACACAGGAATTAAGTCAGCTCATTTAAGAGACTTCTAAAATACCATGTTTATTATACACTGTACACAACAGCCAAAAAAATGGAAGCAACCTAAGTATCCATCCACTGATAAGTGAATACAAAGGCTGTAGTATATAGATAGACATATTTACACGATAGAATACTCTTCAGCCATTCAAAAAATATTGTCATCTGTACCAACATAGATAAAACCAGAGATCGTGACAAGTGACATAACCCAGGCACAGAAAGATAAGTGCCACATGCTCTCACTTAAATGTGAAATCCAAAATGTTGATATGATAGAAGTTAAGAATGATGGTTACTAGAGTAGCGAGGGATAGGGCATGGGGAAAAGTTGGTTAATGAGTAGCAACAAGCTCTGCTATCCTATTGCACAGAAGGGTGAATATGTATAATGATAATGCACTATATCTGTAATTTTTTTAAGATCTATTCATGGGGACTAGTACTGTGGCATAGCAAGCTAGGCTTCCATCTGTGGCACTGGCATCCCATATCAGTGCTGGTTTGAATCCCAGATGTTCTACTTGTGACCCAGCTATCTGCTAATACACCTGGGAAAACAGCAGAAGATGGCCAAAGTGTTTAGGCCTCTGCACCCACGTGGGAGACAGAAGAAGTTCCTGACTCCTCGCTCATAAGAAATGATAAATGTTCAAATAGATATACACATGTACCCTGATTTGGACATTATATAATGTATAAGTACATTAAGACACGACACTCGATAAATACATATAATTTATAGGGTCACATAAATTTATTTTTGTTTTTATTACTTTTTTAAAGATTTAACAATTTTTCAAAGATTTTTATTGGAAAGACAGATTTACAGAAAGATCTTTTATGCACTGGCTGCTCCCCCAAATGGCTGCAAAAGCCAATCCAAAGCCAAGAGCCAAGAATTTCTTCCAGGTTTCCCACAACAGTGCAGGGGCCCAGAGCCATGCTCCACTGCTTTCCCAGGCCACAAGCAGTGAGACGATGGGGAAGTAGAGCAACTCAAGACACGAAACAGCGCCCATATGGGATGCTGGCGCTTGCCGTCAGATGATCAGCCAATTGGGTCATTATGCTGGCCTCTTATTTTTGTTTTTGAACTATCTGTTTATTTCAAAAGCAGAGTGACAGAGCGAGAGGGACATGAAGAGATACTCCATCTGCTGGTTCACTCCCCAAACGGTCACAGTAGCCAGGCGAAAGCTGGCATCCTAGACTGTAGCACTAATTTGAGTCCAAGACACTCTTCCAATCCAGCTCCCTGATAATGTACCTGCAAAGGCAGTGAAAGATGCTCAAAGACTTAGACCCCTTCCATCCCTATGGGAGACTCAAAGTTCCAGCTTCCCAGCTTCAGACAGGGACATTACAGAGTGAACCAAGGGAACACAAAATTTCTTTCAATGTGTGTATGTATATATGTGTGTGTGAGAGAGAGACGCTGCCTTCCAAAGAAATAAATATTATTAGTTAAAAAATAAAATACCTTGAAAACTATTTCCTTCCTTTGCATGCTTAGGCACAAGGTAAAATGGCTTTTTTCTTAGCTCTCTCCGATTTTTCGGTCCAAGCCAGTCGTCGATGGGCAGCCCCCTCTGGGTACAAGCAGGCCAGCTAGTGTTTGGTTGCAAGGCCAGGATTAAATCCACAGATATTTCTCGAGGTTGTGTAATGATCAGGGTTACAGCAGGACAGCCCCGTCTCTTCTTCTCCACGGCAACATCTACATCTGTTTAAACATAAAAGGAAAGCAAGGCTTGAGCAACCCAGGCTTCTCTGGAAGTAAAGAGTAACTATTACAGTAGGATAAGGGGGACATTAGCTCTAATATGGAAATAGTTCCTCACAGGAAAGAATTTAAGTCACTTAACTGATATTTGTTGATACCTACACCACTGATAGAATCAAAGTCCTGTCTTTTTTTTTTTTTAAGATTTATTTGTTTGTTTTTTATTGGAAAGTCAGATATACAGAGAGGAGGAGAGACAGAGAGGAAGAGCTACCATTCACTGATTCACTCCCCAAGGGGCCGCAATAGCTGGAGCTAAGCTGATCCAAAGCCAGGAGTCAGGAGTGTCCTCGGAGTCTCCCACGCAGGTGCAGGGTCCCAAGGCTTTGGGCCGTCCTCCACTGCTTTCCCAGGTCACAAGCAGGGAGCTGGATGGGAAGTGGAGTAGCTGGGACATGAACTGATGCTCATATGGGATCCTGGTGCTTGGAGCGGGGATATCAGGAGCCGTGTACTTAGCCACACTGAAGCCATGTCAGGAGCCATGTACTGTAGCCACACTGAAGCCATTTTGAATATAGAACTGTGGGCCAGTGGAAAACCCCTGGCTGGCTAGATGCTTGGGAAAGAAGTTATGAAACTAATCACACGCTTAGCTTCAATTGTTTCTAGCAACTGTTTCAGTATGTGATTTATGCTGTACCTGCCGACATCTTGTTATTGATTACCTATGCTATTGTTAATATGGTGGTTACTATTGTTGATATGGTGACTGCTCAAGAACAATCGGTCTTGAGACCATGGCTTGTGTCCCAGTTTCTCCTTTCCTCCCTGAGCCTTAGTTACTGAAGAATATAAAAACCCTCAATTAAAATCAATAAACTGACAGCTTGATCAGACATCCTATCTTGCTGTCCATTCTTTGTGTCTCTTGTTCCCCATTCTCCCCTAGGTTACGACCCCCCATTGACTGTCCTGCTGGATGGGACAGGGGAAGATTACCCAATTGAGCCATTGATCCCATTTTCATTTAGAGCTGAAGTTAACGGTTTGGAGGGAAACCTACAAAAGAGGTCACGCGGGCAGCAGGGAAGAGAGCCCTGTGAACTTAGCTCAGCAAAGCCCAGCCTAGCAGCAGAGCACGAGGCCCATTTAGAGGCAGTGAACATGCAGACTGTGGCTGGCAAGAGCAGATCACCAACCTTAACCAGGCACATTTATGCACAGGCACAGGCTGCAGTTCAATGGCTATTTGGTGACCATGGAAATACTTCCAGTCAACACTTGGGAAGTATACTAGAAGATGCGTTAAACTTCATGAGCAGAGTTGATTCCAGAAGGTGGCAGCAGTCAGTCGTCTGGTGGAAGAGGTCAAGTGTTCATTGGCAGTTACGAAATAATATTAGCCCTCTGAGTGCTACCCTTGTGAGGAAAACAGCCAACCAAACTCAAAAACCTTACCTGTAATGTTTTTAACTTCTTCTGTAATGATTTTCCTAAACTTTGACAGCATCTTAGAGGCTAATAATCGTCGATCTGGTCCTAAAAACTGATCAAGAGGACTTCCTTGAGGGTTTCTTTTAAACTTCACGAAGTAATGAGCATCACTTTGGGGATATTCTTCAAGCGTAACTCTGGGGACTTCCAGTTTAAACATGACATCAAATTCATCAGGAGCAGAAATCTAAGAAACAACAGAAATAACATCAAAATGCTTGTGAATATTTTTTAAGCAATTGTGTTTTTTGTTTTTTGGGTTTTTTTTTAAAGATTTACTTATTTGCAATTAAAGGCAGAGTTACAGAGAGGAAAGCCGCTGGCTTACTCTTATATTGGCCACAAAGCTGGAGCTGGGCTGGTCAGAAGCTAGGCAGGAGCAAGGAAGGAGCTTCTTCAGGTCTCCCACGTGAGTGAGATGCCCAAGTACTTGGCCCATGCTCTGCTGCTTCACAAGTCCATAAGCACGGAGCTGGAGGAGAAGTGGAGCAGCTGGGATCCAAATTGGTGCTCAGATGAGATGTTGATGCTACAGGCAGATGATTAGCTTGCTATACCATAGAATGGCCCAGTGCAGTTTTTAAAAAGGATTTATTTATTTTTATTTGAAAGGCAGATTTACAGACAGAAGGAGAGACAGAAAGAACTTCCATCTGCTGGTTTACTCCCTAAGCAGCCACGGTCAGAGCCAGGAGCCAGGACCTTACTCTGGGTCTCCAAGAACATGGGTGCAGAGGCCCAAGGATTTGAGCCATCCTCTGATGCTTTCCCAGACCATAAGCAAGGAGCTGGATTGGAAGTAGAACAGCCAGTCATGACCAGGTGTCTATATGGGATGCTGACACTGCAAAGCAGAGGATTAACCTGATGTCACCACAGCAGTCCCTACATTTGTTTGAAAAATGAAATTTCTGGGCCCAGCATGATGCCTCAGTGGCTAACTCCTTGTCTTTCATGCTCCAGGATCCCATATGGCTGCCAGGTCATGTCCCAGCTACTTCACTTCCCATCCAAATCTCTGTTTGTGGCCTGGGGAAGCAGTAAAGGACAGCGCAAAGCCTTGGGACACTGTACCCACATGAGAGACCAAAAAGAAGTTCCTGGCTCCTGGCTTCTGATTGGCCCAGCTCTGGCCATTGCAGCCATTTGGGAAGTGACCTAGCATATGGAAAAACCTTTCTTTCTCTCCTTCTCTCTGTAAATCTGCTTTTCCAATAAAAATAAAATAAATCTTAAAAAAAAATTGAAGTTTCTACTTAAACCTCCAGACTGAAAAACAAGATTCCTAATATTATTTCTTCCAGGAGCAGGACCAACAGAGTTGGGAGCAGGTAGAAACACAATAATTATTTTTAGTTTTCAGGTTTTAACTCAATTTTTTTTTTTTACTATTAGCATGCATCATTTTTTCTTTATGCACATTTGTTATTTGTTCATAATAACATGAATTTAGAACTTGTAAAGCATATTTTAACCAAAGCGGCAAATCCTGTCATGTTATTCTTAATTAATTTATTCATTCAACAAATATTTATAAATGCTTAAACATTGTCAGTTTCATTACACCAGGGTTTAGGAAATCTTTCCAAGGCCTGGCTCACCAAGTCTACCTTGTTGCACTGACAGACCCAGACACTTGCTATAAAGCTTGGCAAGCAGAGCTATCCTACCTGTTCTGTTTTCCATCCTCTGACAAGCCACTCCACATCCTCTGCTGGCCTAGATGAGCTGGCTGTCATGTCCCCCATGTGCATCTGGGTATGTTGTCCATTGCACAGGCCTCAGCAACTTGAGGAGACCCAGTCCTGATACATGCCCTCCAAGATTGCATCATGTATCTTGTGATGGCCTGGGCTTTGAGTCCGATGATCTAGTAAGTGAGTCCCCCAAGAAACCTTGCCTGGAGTGGCTTTAGACTCGACTCTTGTGTGTGTCAGCTAATGAGGATCAGGTTTGATCCATCAGCCGTACCAGCCAACATACTTACTGGTGGATGCAACTGCCCGGTTGGTTCCTGAGTGCTGGGTTTGTGTCCTGGTTGTTCTACTACCAGTCTAGTTATTGGCCTTGGAACAGCAGTGGAAAACAGCCAAGAATCTAGGCCCCTGTCACCCATGTGGGAGATCCAGAAGAAACTCCTGGCTTCAGCCTGGCCCAGGGCTGGTCATTGCAGCCATTTAGGGAGTGAACCACAAGAGGGAAAGATCTCCTTTTCTCCCTCTCTCTTTGTAATCTGACTTTCAAAATAAATAAATAAGTGACTCTTAAAAAAATGGTGAGGGTGTATGTAACAACACTCCTGTCCCACACTGAGGTGTCTAGCTTTAATTTCTAGCTCTGACTCCTGACTAATTTCTTGTCAGTGCAAGTCCTGGAAGCTGCAGTGAAGGCTCAAATGTTTGGATTTCTGCTACCCAGTGGGACACCTGGATTGAGTCCTTGACTGCTGGATTCAGTCTTGGTCCAACCCCGGTCATTACAGGCACTTGAGAAGGAAGCCAATGAACCACTAGGTAAGATCTCTCTTTGTCAGGCCCGGCACAGTAGCCTAGTGGCTAAAGTCCTTGCCTCGAACATGCTGGGATCCCATATGGACACTAGTTGGACACCGGTTCATATCCTGGCTGTTCCACTTTCCATGTAGTTCCTGCTTGTGGCCTGGGAAAGCAGCAGGAGATGGCCCAAAGCCTTGGGACCCCACACCAGCATGGGAGACCTGGAAGAGACTCCTGGCTTCAGATCAGCTCACCTACTTGGTAAGTGAACCAGCAGACAAAAGATCTTTCTCTTGGGCCCTGTGGCGTGGTCTAGAGGCTAAAGTCCTCACCTTGAACGCGCCAGGATCCCATATGGGCCCGGTGCTAATCCCAGCAGCTCCCCTTCCCATCCAGCTCCCTGCTTGTGGCCCAGGAAAGCAGTCGAGGATGGCCCAAACCCTTGGGACCCTGCACCTGTGTGGGAGACCTGGAGGAAGTTCCTGGTTCCTGGCTTCAGATCGGCATAGCATCAGCCGTTGTGCTCACTTGGGGAGTGAATCATCGGATGGAAGATCTTCCTCTTTGTCTCTCCTCCTCTCTGTATATCTGACTTTCCAATGGATAAATAAATCTTTAAAATAATAATAATAATAATAAAATAAAGAAATCCAGCCATATGTTCCCAAACTGTTTACAAACCAGGAAGAGCACCCTCCTCAACCCAATCTTATGATATCCTGATCTTGGCCTTCCAACATCCACAACTCTGAGAAGACAACTTCCTGTCGTTTAAAGCACCAGTCTATGGTATTGCGTTACGGCAACTCAATAGGACCAGGACATACAGCCACTCTGACAGGGGAGCCACTCACTGTCTTGAAGGCGTAGAGATACAGAAATACATAATAGTTGGCCAGATTTTAGGATTATGAACATCCTAAAATCCTAAATCTAAAGTTTTACAATCGTCCACCTTATGGGAGAGCAATGTTGGCTGAATAAAGCCAGTATGCAACTCTGAAAGAAGTTATGAAGTGCTAACAGTTACGAGCAATCACTCTGTTTATGTTCATGTTACAATCACCTTCTTACACAGTTAAGTGAGGTTATACCCTAGCACTCAAAAAACCAAAGACTAAGCCAGACATAACCAAAACTATCACTGATCAGAAAACAGAGCTGGTGAGGGGAGCCTGCTCCTAAACCACCACTTCACACAGCATAATTTTTTTTTATTTAAAGATTTATTTTTATTGGAAAGTCAGATATACAGAAAGGTGGAGAGACACAGAGGAAGATCCGTCCAATGATTCACTCCCCAGTGGCTGAAACGACCAAAGCTGAGCCAATCCGAAGCTAGGAGCTAAGAGCTAGGAGCCAGGAACCAGGAGCCTCTTCCGGGTCTCCAACGCAGGTGCAGGGTCCCAAAGCTTTGGGCCGTCCTCGACTGCTTTCCCAGGCCACAAGCAGGGAGCTGGATGGGAAGCGGGGCTGCCGGGATTAGAACTGACGTCCACATGGGATCCTGACGCGTGCACTTTAGTCACTAGATTATCACACCGGGCCCGCATACCTACTTTCATGACTGAATGTGCACATTCAAATTGCCCCCTCCCCATCAGTGTCTCCAGAGTAGCTGGCCATCAACACCGATCAGTTGCATGGTCGTTTGATGTACAGATAAATAAAAGAACCAAAACTATCAGAGACTACTTAAGAACAAAAGTTTAAGTTACTTCACGGGTTGGGGCAGAGGGGCAAGCGGGGTAGTGGGGGAAAGACAGGTGTGTTAGTCGGGGACCCCAAGTGCGTGGCAGGAAGAGAAAGCCTGGCACTGCGCAGCTCACCTTTACGCGTTCATAGTAGCTCCCGGTGTTCAGCAGTGTGGCGCGTTTAAACTCTGATTCCACCCTGTTCAGTCGCTGCAGCAGCTGGTCCACGACCTTGTTCACGATTTCCGCCGCCACTGAGATCTCGTCGCGTTTCAGCCTTAGCTTATCCAGCACCTCCTTGGAATTCCAGCTGCCCCGTGCCACCACCTCACTTTGGCTGACATTCGGGACCTGAACCGCTCCGGCGGGGCAGAGTTCCTTGCTGGGTCCGAGCGGAGGTCTCTGCTCAGTGCAAGATGAGCGTGCGCCCTTTCGGGAACGAGATCCTGCCTTGGGAAGGCAGGCCACGGGCTCCTCGGGAGGCTCCTGCGCCTCCAGAGGAACCGACTGTCGCTCTGTCAAAACGGTGGCTGCACTGGCCTGGGGCGCGGGGGCTCCGGCGCACAGAGACGCCCGCTTGGCACAGGTTCTTGGAGCGCGGACCTCGGTCTTCTCCCGAAGGCTCTGGGCGCTCCTCCTTTGGCGTCCCGACTCCCTGGCCGCACCACGGTCCCCCGCCTTGGAACGGGCCGCCCTGAGGGCAGCGGCAGCCACGGGGGCTGTGTCAGCCGCAGGCTGTGTCGGGGCGTCCGGCACACCTTGTGCCGAGGCGTTCGGCGCGGCGTTCCCGGCTTTCGAAGATGCTCGCGTCTTTTTTCCGCGCCCCGAGTCCATGTCTGGCTCTCCTCTGTTCCCCGAATGACGAACCCGGACAAGAATCGCGAAGGGGAGGAACCAGATAGAACGTCTGGAAATGAAACTTAAAAATCAGGCGGGAAGACGGCGTTTGCGGTTTGGGAGTGGGCACAGAACAGGAAGCGAGGCTGCGAGATCATCTGGCCCGGCCCACGTCGGGAAGCGGAGGACCGGAGCCACGAGTGGCGCCTTCTGCGACGCGGAAGTTCTCAAGCTGCAGGGTGAGAAATTCTAGAAAACGCTAGAGAAACTTGATCACCAAAAACATTTCCTGACATACCGCCTAAACTTAGTTTAGAAAGCTGTATCTTTTTCTAGTTGACAAACTTCTTTAAAGATTTGTTTGTTTGTTTGTTTGTTTGTAAGTTACAGAAGGAGAGAGGGAGAGACAGATCTAATGCCAATGTTTGAAATGGCAGGAGCTCGGCTGATCCCTAGCTGGCAGGAGCCACGGGCCAAACCTTCGGGCCATCTTCTGCTGCTTTCCCATCCAGCTCCCTGCTTGTGGCCTGGGAAAGCAGTCAAGGATGGCCCAAAGCCTTGGGATCCTGCATCTGCTTCGGAGACCCAGAAGACTCTCCTGGCTTCAGATTGCCTCAGCTCCAGCCATTGGGGCTGCTCAGGGAGTGAATCAACACATGAAAGATCTTCCTCTTTGTCTCTCCTCCTCTCTGTATATTTGACTTTCCAAATAAATAAATAAATCTTTTTTTAAAATGAACTGGCCTGACTTTCCAAAGAAATGAATAAATAAATCTTTTTAAAAATGAAGTGGTGCAGCCAGACAGAAGTCAGGGACCATGTGGAATACTGACATTACAGGCCTTATCTGCTTTGCCACAACAAGGCCCAAGAAATTCCAGGAGCAGCTTACGTAAAGATTTTTGTTGTTATTGTCCATAGGAAACAGAAAATGCCCAATCTTAACTAAAGGGAAAAAGATGAAGATTAAGTGGAGTGAATATTTAATTTTATTTGACTTTTTGAAAGCCATAACAAATCTTAAAGAAGTATAGAGTTCTGTGTTTTTAAATAATAACTCGTTTTATTTTGTATGATGTTTACATAATTAAGAGGGATGCATGCCCATGTTAACCATTGATTAGGGTGGGGAGGGTCAAGGAATGGAGGGCGGGGGAATGGATAAGATAACTGCTTGCATCCCCTTTTTTCTTCCTGTATCTGGAGAAAGTGGGGAGAGAAAGGAAGCAGACCGCTTCCAGGAACCCAAGCACATCAGTACCTAAGAATGGGGGATGGCCACCTGATGTCATCCCAGGGTCCCCAGTGTGCAGCATATTCTGAAGGTACTGCTCGAGTGATTTCAATACTTCTGAGGTGCTGTCAATGTCGTTGTTCCAAGGTTGAGGAAATCCTTCCAAGTTTCATTGGCTGGCATAGTCCACCTTAATTCGCCCAGATACGCGTTGTCAAAGCCTGACTGGGAGAGCTGTCCAGTTTGTTCTGCCTTCCATGGTACAAGATGTCCTCTGTGGGCCTCAAAGAACTAGTTGTCATGTCCTCCATGAGCTGTCCACTGCACCAGCCTCAGCAACCACAGAGACCCAGTTTTCATACAAGGACTCCATAATCCTGTGATTTTCATCATGATAGGGGTTCTGAGTCCAGTGATCCAGTTGGGATCACTGGCTCCTGTGTATGCCAGCCAGTATGGGTCGGCATCCCAGTCTCACCCACATCAGCATACACACAATGGTAGTTGCAGTCACCTGACCGGTTCTGTCTCTAGCCCCATTTCATACACAAACCAATGAATGCTGCGGCCCAACCCTGCACACCACACATTCGGCCTTCTTATAAACCAGCAGGAACTGCAGCCTACTCACAGCAACCCCCAAAAACCCCCAACTTCCAGCCGCACTTCCTATGCATGCCAGTATGTGCAGCAGACTGGTCCAGTCTATCCTGCATCCTATCTGGCTCTTGTAGACATCAATGGGTGCTGAAGCCTAGCTCAGCCCAATCAAACCTACTATCTAGCCCACACTCATACTGGCAGGCACTACTGGCTATCCAGCAAGGTCTGCCACCAACCCTGATATTCATGCTTACCAGTGGGAGTTGCAGTTCATCAGAGAGGCGCCCACAATTTCCCCACTAGGCCCACTCCCAGCCCTGGATCTTGTACTTTCTAGGTGGTTCTACAGTCTAATCTGACAGAACTTGTCCCCAGTCCTAGCACCTGCTAGCCGATGCTGCAGCAAAGTCAACCAGCCTGCACTTACTCTGGGCTCATGCACACACCAGTGGATACAATCACTTAGCCCAGCCTGGCTCTCCCCCTAGCCCAGCTCACATGCAGGTTTATAGGCTTTGTAGTACTGCCCTGCCCAGTCCCAGCTCCCAGCGGGGGCAGTGGTCTGGATGGGGGATCCTTGCAGCTCCTCTACTTGATATGCACCCTTTCCCCCAATCCTGGGTCTTCCATGGTGGGTTGGTGGGTTATACAGCACATTTTGGCATGACCCGTCTCACTGCAGCATTCACCAGTGTGTGTTGTAGCCTGGCTTGGCCAGCCTGCCCCCAATTCCAGCTCATGCTGGTAGGTGCTACAGCCCAGCCCAGCCCAGTCTGGCCTGCCGCCAGACCTGCCCCACATGTATGCCAACAGGTACTATAACCTGGCTTGGTCTGGGCTGCATCCAGCCTAGGCTCTTGTGCTCACCTGCAGAGATTGCGTCCTGATAGAGGAATTCCCCAAGCTCCTCGATCAAGTCACCTCCCAGAGGCAGATCTTGTGCACAGTGATGGGTTCTTTGTCTAGCATGACTTGGCCCACCTTCCGTTCTGGCAGGTACAGCATCCTTACCCGACTAGCCCACACCCATTCCAGCTCTTCCTGTTGGATGCTACAGGCCAGCCATCCTACACCCAACACACCTGCACCACTCTGGCTCTAACATGTGCTGGAACCTAGCCCAGTCTGGCACACCCCACACCTAGTCCACACCCATACTGAGGTATACTAGTCATGTCCAGCCCAGTTCACAGACCGTATTCCAGCTCTTGTGCTCACCAGTGGGAACTGCAGCTCAGAGCGGTGTCCCCTTAGTTCCCTGCCACAGATCTTGCATGTATCGGCAGTTGCTCTGACCCAGCCCAGCGTAACCCATCCCCTATCTTGGTATTTGCAATCAGTTGCTGCACGCTGACCTGACCCAGCATGTCCCCTGTGCCAACTCTCACTGTCAGGTACTGCGGCCTGGCCCTGCTCGGTCTGCCTCCATCCCTGGGGTTTTTTAAAAATTATTATTATTTATTTTTGATCATGTTTACATAGTTGATTGGGGGGGACCGAAGTTTAGGAAAAAATGGGTTAGATCATTGTTTTTTTTTTCTGTTGTTTTGTTTTGTTTTGTTTTGTGAGATCTTTGTTTCTAAATTTCCTTTTTCTTCTCCCTGTATCTGGGGGAAGGGAGGAGATAAGGGGAGAAACCTCCCCCAGCTTCCCAATCACCTCAGTATCCAGAGATGGGGAATAGCCACCAGATGTCATCCCAGGGTCCCCGATGTGACACATGTTCCAAGGGTTCTGCTAGAGTGGTTTCAAAAATTCTAAAATGCTATTGATCTTGGCAATCCAAGGATGAAGAAATCCTCCCAAGGTCCATTGGCTGACATAGTCCACCTTAGAGTCTCCATTTGCCTGGATATTTCCTGTTGGTGCTTGGCTGGGGTAGTTCACCAATTTGTCCTGCCCTCCTTCCTCTATTATGCTACCAGATGTCCTCTGCTAGCCCCAGTGGACTGCCATATCCTCCGCATGCATCTGGGTATGCTGTCCACTGCTCTGTCTTAGCCACTGAGGAGGGCCAATTCTGACACACCACACTCCATGATAAGACCACAGATCCTACAATTCTCCCCACGGTTGGAGTTCTGAGTCTTTCAGTTCAGTTTGAAGTATCCCCAAAAAAATCCTCATCAGAGCTAATCCCAGACCTGACTCTTGTGTGTGCTTTCCGGTATGGGGTCTGGCTCAGTCTGTCGTCCACATCAGCCTACTCGCACAGTGGTAGTTGTAATTGCAGTATTGGTTCTGCCTTTAGCCCTCTTAAGTAAAACAATGGACGCTGCAGCCGAACCCAACTCTGCCTCCCACACACTTAGCCCTCATGTACACAAGCGGAAGCCACAGCCAAGTCAAAGCGACCCCCAATAATCCCCACTGGGCCCACTCCAACCCTAGTTCCTGTGATTATTATTAGCATGTGCAGCAGACTGGTCCAGCCTGTCTCACATCCCATTCAGCTTTCATACAGGTCAATGGGCATTGAAACCTAGCTCAACCTAATCAACCCACTATTCATCCTATACTAATACCAACAGGTGCTGCTGCCTATCTAGCCAGACTCACCCCCTAGCCCTGAGTCTCATGCTTACCAGTGGGAGTTGCAGCTCATCAGAGAAGTGCCCACATTTTCCCTACTGGGCCCACTCCCAGTCCTAGATCTTGCATTCTCCAGGTGGTTCTATGGTTTAGCTTGGCAGAACCTGCGCCCAGTCCTAGCACTTGCCAACTGATGCTATAGGAAAGCCAACCAGCCTGCACTTATTCTGACTCATGCACGCACCAGTGGATATAGTCACTTAGTCCAGCCTGGTTCTCCCACTAGCCTAGCTCACATGCAGACCAATAAATATTGTAGCCCTGCCCAGCCTGGTCTTTCCTCAGTTCCAGTTTTCACACTCACCTGTGGGAACCACAGCCCAGCAGGAGAGCTCTCCACAACCTCCCTACTAGGTCTCATGTGTGTTGGTGGGTGCTGTGACCCAATCTGGCTTGGCCTGCCTTACCTTGGCATTTGCTGATGGATGCTGTAGCCTGTCCTGGCTTGTCTGCCCCCAATTCCAGCTCATGTTTTTGCACCCTGTCTTTCATGCAAACCGGTAAGTGTGCTAGCCTAGCCTAGTCCACCGTGGCTCATACCCCATCCTGGTTCCTATGCATGCCAATAGTTTAGCCTGGCTCTGCCCAGTCCGCCACCTCAGAGCAAATCTATACTCCTGCCAGTAAGTAAGCAGCCCACCCAGACTAACCAACACCCAACCCTGATTCATGTCCTCACCAGAGGGAGTGACAGCCCACCAG